ATGGTGGTTGACAGTATCAAAAGCTTTACGCAGGTCCACAAATAACCCAACAGGGAACTCCTTTTTATCAAGAGCTGTATGAATCGAGTTAAGCATACTAATAAGTGCATCGTTAGTGCTTTTTTTTGGGTCTGAAGCCATATTGGCAAGGGCTAAGTATATTGAGTTTGGCTAGATATGAGTAAAGCTGCTTATATATAAGTTTTTCAAAAATTTTTGACAAGTTTGGCAGGATTGATATAGGTCTGTAGTTGTTAACATCTGTGGGGTCACCACATTTGTGGACAGGCGTTACTCTCGCTTTTTTTAGAATATCTGGAAAGGTTTGGAGTTCAAGTGACTTGTTGAAGAGCAAAGCAATAGCAGGGGCTAAAGATCTGGAGGCTTTTTTGTAAATTAAAGTTGGTATCTCCTCAAGGGCACCAGACTTGGTTTTAAGGGAAAGGATTATCTCATTGACGTCAGTGGAGTTAATAGGCTTTAGGTACAGAGACTGTGGATAGTTACCTGTAAGATAGTCCTTAATGTCAGTACTGGAAGATGGAATATCATTTGCAAGGGATGAACCAATGGAAGAGAAGAACCTATTGAACTCAATAGCAGAATCAGAGGCTGAAAGCTGACCATCGTTATTAGACAGGAGAGTCGGTTTGTTATTTAAAGATTTCTTTGATCCCAATATTTGTGAAATTGTGCTCCAAGTTTGTTTAATGTTGCTCTTTATTTGAGTAAATTTATCTTCGTAGTATTTAGTTTTGGCTCGTCTAATTATCTTAGATAGCAATAATGAGTAATTCTTTGAGAATTCTTTGGAGACAATTCCTAACCTATACTTCTTCTCAAGGTCGTGTTTTTTGTTAATGGACAGTGTTCTCTGATTGTGCCTATGGCACCTCTGTTCTTCACTGGTTCTATTCTGCATTTTCTTCCATTTCGTTGTTATTTTACTGTGTAGCTTTGGGACCTGTCCGTCCATACTCCCACACTCTCCCTCATACTCCCCCACTCTCCCTCGTACTCCCCAACTCTCCCTCGTACTCCCCAACTCTCCTCCATACGCCCCCACTTTTCCCCTTTCTTTCCCACTCTCCTCCATACTTCTCCACTCTCCCCCATCCTCCCCATACTCGCCCACTCTCCCCCCATACTCGCCCACTCTCTTCCATACTCCCCCACTCTTCCTACCTCTCCCCCACTCTTCCATACTCCCCTATATACTCTCCTATTCTCCCCCACTCTTCCCAATACTTCCCCACTCTCCCCCATAATGGTTTTGTATTTTTTTCAAAACCAGAATCGGGACTGGTTTTGAAGGACTGTTTTTTTGGGCCTGGACTCGGGCAGGGCCTGGCTATACCTAAACACGGGCCGGGTCTCGCTAGGCCTGGACTCGGGCAGGGCCTGGCTATACCTAAACACGGGCCGGGTCTCGCTAGGCCTGGACTCCGGCCTGGCTGGGCCTGTCTGGGCCTGGACTCGGGCAGGGCCTGGTTATAGCTGGACACGGGCTGGGTCTCACTAGGCCTGAACTCGGGCCTGGCTACATCTGGACACGGTCCGGGCCTCGCTAGGCCTGAACACGGGCAGGGTATGGCTATACCTGAACACTGGCCGGGTCTCGCTAGGCCTGGACTCCGGCTTGGCTGGGCCTGGCTATAGCTTGACACAGGTTGGGTCTCGCTAGGCCTGGACTCGGGCCTGTCTGGGCCTGGACTCGAGCAGGGCCTGGCTGTAGCTGGACACGGGCTGGGTCTCACTAGGCCTGGACTCGGGCCGGGTCGCTAGGCCTGGACTCGGGCCTGTCTGGGCCTGGACTCGAGCAGGGCCTGGCTATAGCTGGACACGGGCTGGGTCTCACTAGGCCTGGACACGGGCTGGGTCTCACTAGGCCTGGACTCGGGCCGGGTCGCTAGGCCTGGACTCGGGCCGGGTCTCGCTAGGCCTGGACTCCGTCCTGGCCTAGCGAGACCCGTTCAGAGTGGAACGTTTCCGTTCCTATCTGCATCTCTTCCTCTTTTCTTCTTAGGGGTATGCAGTTTAAGGAGGCGTCTGGTTATAAAAATGCAAAAATGAAAACTCGTTCGATTTCAATCAAACTTTTTTGACAAGTTCTATATGAAAAGTGTTTCATCTGGTCCAAGTTTCAGCATCGTAGCATAAATAGGAAGGAAGAAAAAAAATATTGTAGTGAAAATTATGCCAAAATGGTCAAAATCATCAATCAAAAGTGTCAACTGAAATCATAGCTATGACTCTTTGCTATCACAACAGCATATATTAAACAAATATTATAATTAGTTTAATTGAAAAAAAAAATTAAGATTTTTTTTTTCATTTTTTTTCGGGCGATTTGCATCAAACTTACACACCTGACTCTACGTAAGCCTATCTGTAAGGATGCCAATTTTGGAGAAAATTGATTGATGTCAACCTCAGCTACAGATTTTAGAAGCTTAGACTTTATTCATTTTTTTTTTTCAATTGACACGTTTACAAAACTGATTCAGTTTACATGAAACTTACACAGTATATGTGGAGGGCATGTCTCTACATTGTGGAGTTTACATTTTTTTATAATAGCAATAAACATGCCATATTTGCAAAAATTTTTTGGGGAACTTTGAACATTTGTATTAGGAAAACTAAAGATGTTTTGGAAATTCTATAACTCAAGGTCCTTTATTATATGCTAATGTGTCAGAAAAGTGTCACAGAATAATTATATCTGAAACGTGGACTTGAAAATGTGTAAAAAACGTTGAAAAAAAAAAATCTCCCTTTCTATTTACGCTGCAGTACTGAAACTTGGGACAATTTCAGCGCTTTTCATATACAACTAGTCAAATAATATTGGTTGACATTGAACAACTTTTACCTGACAAGCAGACGCCCCCTTAAGCATATTTCTAGTGCTACTGAGCTTATGTTTTCCAGGCACTGGTTCAGGTTTGCATTTTCTAGCTGTTCTTCCCAGCTTATTTTTGTGAAGCCTTGGTTTATTTGCTCCCAGTTTATATGTTTATTATTGAAGTTAAATTTGCTGAAATCTCAACCAGGAATCGGGACTGGTTTTGAAGGTCTATTTCCCCATGCTTGTCAGAACTTCAATCAAGTTGTAATCTGAGTAACAGACATTTGTAATCATTACGTTCCTGATCAATTCATCATTATTGGTGAAAATGAGGTCCATCATGTTCTTCCTAGTTGGTTCTACTATTTGCTGGTTTAAGGCAAACCTGTCACACATCCGTAACAGGTCATTTTTCATGTGCCTGTTCATTTAGGCTACTTCCTGGTATTCTTTCTGATATAACTGTATTAGATAGGTTCTTCCATTTCAGGTGTCGTAGGTTGAAGTTGCCGAGCAGGATGATGTTCGGGGCTGGATTTGAGATTTTCCAAGCAGTGCTCTATTTTCATTAGTTGGTCTTTAAACTGCTTTGCCTCCGGTGACTTATATAAAAGGATAATAACTACATTTAAGATCATTTTTTGATTATCAGCACTTCCACCATATCATTTGTGGTGTTTAGCAGCTCAGTACAGTTGAGTGTGTGTCTGATGTAGAGGCTGACCCCACCCTGTAGCCTGTGTTTCCTGTCACATCTGAAAAGATTGTACTCCAAAATCCATATTTCACCATCATGGTAGTCCTTGGTGTGAGTTTCCGTTAGGGCTGCAAACACTGCATTTGCCTCATGTAGGAGGCCATCTATGAATTGCACTTTGTTAGATTTGTGTGTTTTTACACTCTGTTGGCAAATAAAAATGATGTTATGTTTCTGGAAGGGTGCATGGGGAAATTGTGTAAAACTCTGGTTTGTGCCACGGAGATGCTGCGGGATCCGTGTGAAGGCAGTAGCACTACTGCCTACTTCTACTACTACACAGTAGTAGAAGGTAGTGGCAGTAGTAGGTTGCAATTCTTTTAACTTTGTTGTGGCATAATCGACTAAGGCGCATCTGGGATCATCCCTGACAAGTTCAAACCCTCACCACGGCCCTTGTAAATTTGTTCATTTGATGTATCACACTATTGTGATTTCTGTTTGTGTTAGTGAGGACAGAGGACACGGCGAACCTCCAGTCAGATGTAGATCAGGTCTTTCTATGGGCTACAGAAAATAATATGGTGTTTAACGAAGATAAGTTCCAGCTCATGCGCTATGGAAAAAATGAAAATATAAAAACGGAAACCACATACAAAACTCGGGCAAATCATAATATAGAACGAAAAGGCAATGTAAAGGATCTGGGTGTACTCATGTCGGAAGACCTTACCTTTAAAGAACACAATAAAGAAGCCGTCACAACTGCAAGAAAAATGACAGGTTGGATAGCAAGAGCTTTTCACACTAGAGATGCTATACCGATGATGATACTTTTCAAAACGCTTGTGCTCTCTAGAGTAGAGTACTGCTGCACAATGACAGCCCCTTTCAAAGCTGGAGAAATTGCTGACCTGGAGAGCGTGCAGAGATCCTTTACTGCTAGAATCCACTCGGTAAAACATCTAAACTATTGGGACCGACTAAAGAGCCTAAAACTGTACTCCCTTGAGCGCAGGCGGGAGAGGTACATAATAATTTACACGTGGAAAATATTAGAGGGGCTGGTCCCAAACCTGCACACAGAAATAACATCACATGAGACCAGAAGACATGGCAGGATGTGCAGAATACCCCCATTGAAAAACAGAGGTGCAACTGGTACTCTGAGAGAGAACTCTATCAACATCAGAGGTCCGAGACTGTTCAACACGCTTCCACTACACATAAGGGGCATAACTGGCCGACCCCTCACAGTGTTCAAGAGAGAACTGGATAAGCATCTCCAAAGGATACCTGATCAACCAGGCTGTGACTCATACATCAGGCTGCGAGCAGCCGCGTCCAACAGCCTGGTTGATCAGTCCGGCAACCAGGAGGCCTGGTCGACGACCGGGCCGCGGGGACGCTAAGCCCCGGAAGCACCTCAAGGTAGTGTAGTAAAATAAACCATTGCAAACTCAGAATTTATTACAAAAACAAATATGTATTAATGTCATCTAAATACCTTTCAAAATTTATCAAAGAAAGCCTGGAAAAAGTATTAATATTGAGTTAAGAGAATAATAGATCCAAATAATTTACTCAAAATTTTTACCTTTTATTAAATACACAATCTCTATGAACTTTCAGGCAAAATACCCTTAAATAATCACAGATTCCCTTTTATAAAATGTTTTCAGTCATCATTATGATGGTCTTGAATTTCTGAAGCCTCCTAAATTAGCAACTACACAGAAACATATATTTAAGCACTCGGTGGGTCTAGGTCTATGCTGCCTCTCCTTCCGCAACAACATGAGGCATGTCCTTAATGCCATCCTTTGAGATAATTCTCACACGGAACTTGGGCAGGTTGATGATAAATCTTCGCTTAATTTCTGCAGCACACTTCTTCAACAGTTCATATGCTTCTTGCTCATTCATGTCTGAGGGGTACAAAGGATAGTAGTAAAGATTACTTACATAAAACCCCATTAAAACTCCTGATGAATTATAAGTAAATGCAAATTCAACATGAAAATTTCACATGTTTAGAACATTAAATAATGCATTAATAGAGGTTAAACAATAATGTTTAATGGAACAAATTTAAAATGCAAACTTTTATAAGAGATCTAAGGACAAGACACAATCACATTTACTAACACTTACCAATTTTAATATCTAGCTAAATTAGCAGAAATATATACCAAAGATCCAAACCAACAAGCACTCCTCTTTCAAGTAACTACCCAAACTCCCTATACCCCTATAATGTGAACGTATGTAAGGCTCCGTTTGGTGTGCACACCAGGCAGGCAGCTACTGAGGGGGCTTTCCCAGAAATTAAGTATTGAATTCAATGAAAAATTTGCACCTGGAAAATTGCCCCCCCTTTTTGGGGAGTTTTACACCAAATTTGTTGCTATTTTGCACACTTAAAACTGGAAAATTAACGTGTGCATAAAGATTTCACCACATCTAAGTTTATTCCTATGCCTATGCGTTGAAACTTCATTTTCAAAAGTAGCAGGTCCCCCTTTGGTAAACTCAAAATGAAAACAACGCGTAGATATTTGTTTTAAATATGCTTAACACTTTGGCATCCTGATGATGCTCTTGGCGTCATTAAAAAAATAAACGCAGAGTGGGTGATGACACTCTCAGCGTCATGCATTGAATTTTGGTTATTCTTATTATTAAGTATAAACATTGTAAGTGAAAGAGTTTAACATTGGGTTGTGTGCTCACCAGCAATGCTTGGCCTACCTTCTGGTGTGATGTGGGTGGCCTGCCGGGAATGCCAAAGTGTTAACTAGTTTTGAGTCTTGGGGAAACTATTATCTTAATTTTTGTAAGTGGATTCAACAGCATTAAAAAAGTGATTGGAGCTATATTAAAGAAATTACCAATCATATCCTTATTTTTTTTCATGCTTCATGGACAAATTTCACAGTGAAATTTTAACCTATCATACAATGGATGAGAACTTGCATATAAAGAAATTTCTCCCTTATTACCAGTACTTTTCAGGATCCAGCTTGTTCCTGTAAAATTGCCAGTCAGCATCCAGGAAAAAAAAAAAAAAATCTACACAAAGTCTACTTATCATGGTTTAGCTATAGTGGCCCAGTGAAGTTGCGTGGTTATGATAGATGGGTGGTGCAGTGGAGGCTTGGGTCACCAGGTGGTGAATAACAAGGTATACCTGGAGCATACAGAGTTCTTCCACTCCCTGAGGCTAGGCACGTGTGAGCACATGTCAGAGAGAAATATATGTTGTCAATTGTAGGTGGAGTGTGGCAAATAACAGTCCATTTATTTTTATCGTTTCTCATTTTATTTAATTTTTTCGTGCTCACATGTTGATGTGTCAATAGTGGTATTCATTACATTTAACTTTGGAAATAAGTACAGTATACATATATACAGACACACACATAAACATGCACATCCTGTATTTATTCATACTGTACTGTCATGTAAATCCCCTGCATAGCAGTAGAACTGCCTTTTCCATTCAACTTTCATGTCTCTACACTGGAAGTCCACCTCTCTGACAGCAAGACGAGTCATCTAACCTGCCACACTCCACAACTCCATACCACCCCAGTGCCTGGTATGGCTTATTGGCAGGCAGGGTGCCTCCGCTAACCAGTAGTTAGCATCCAGAAACAAGCAGTTTGCCACTTTAACTAGCAAGGATACAGCTTCTATACAAAGGCACCGCCAGTTGCAAACTAGTAGTTTGCTACCCAGCACTTGTTACAACTTGTTCTGACACCGGCAGTAACGTACGTGCTTGATGAGGTTCTGGGGGTTCTTCTACTCCTCAAGCCCGGCCCAAAGCCAAGTTTGACTTGTGATGTCAATGATGTCATCACTGCCGGGATATATAAAGGGCACCGCCACCCTGGGGGGAGACTCTCTCTCGGTGCTCTTGGGTCATCATAACCTCCCACAACCGTCGTCTGTTACCAGCTTATGTAGTGTGTTGGATGCTGTTATGGTATGGTGGACGTCTTCAGCACACCAGTATTTTCTTATTCATGGTATTCACTGTATTCATTGCACATTTTATTCTTGTTCAAGGTTTCATTTATATTGTTTCATTTTTGAAGGGTATGATTGCCAAGTGTTCTCAGGTGCCATTTTTGTTATTAATATTTCAGTATATTATTTTAATTATTTGATAGTTTTCCTTTGTTTCTACCTGCAACTTACACACTGCAAGGGCCAAAGCAGCAAATTTTTTTTTATTTGTGTGACAGAGCCTTACCAGCCTGGCCCAGTATTTGCTGCGCTACTGTATCACGTACGTCACAATACCAATATCTATGTGAACCAAAATCGTTCAATTGCACGTGTTGCATTTTAAATACAAATAAATACATGGATATCACCAATTTGCTGTTTTAAAAGTTCTGGAGAATATGATAGCCAGTGAAACAGTCAAGGTGCAGAGTACAGCAAATGTCACTCCTATTGCATCATATATCATCAGCAATGTGTGTTCTGATCCATACTCCTTTTATCTAGCACACAAACCATTGCATGTGACCTGGCATGGAATGCAACAGGTGGTAGGTAGTCAATATAGTGTCATAGACAATACTCCTTTCCAAAGACTGCCAGGTAGGTGTGATGCATCATGCATGGTAATAGCTGGAGTACTTGCACCACAAACACCAATACATGAACAAGAAATGACACTTAGAGGAACAGAAATAGGAACCAAGTAGGAGTAACGAACTAATAACAGACATCAGGGATGAAGGAGATGTTTTGAAAGTACAGAAACAAGGTAGGGAATTGTTGTGTGCATCAATGAGCTTAAGAAAAGGGTTAAGGTAGTAGTAGCAGTAGAGAAAGGTAAAATGCAAAGGATGCAACTAGATAAATAGAAAGATTGAAATAAGTGTAGGATGTTGTAGAACAATGAGGTAAAAAACCAGCAAGGACCGTTTCTGAAGTAGCAAAAATGTCAGAGGCAAGGCAAATAATAGAAGCAATAGTGATAGGGACTATCAGATCAAGCAGTAGTGAACTGCAACAAAAATAAATTATAAAAGAGTGATTAGTTATTATAAAGAGCCTGACAGAACCAGAGAGAGAGCCATACAGCAGGAGAGAAGAAAAAGACTGGAAAGAGTTAACACTTTGGCGTACCCCGCGCGCCACCCTTCAACTGTGCGATTTGGGTCCCAGGGTGTCACGGGAGCGCGCGTAAATTCTGAAAAGTGTATACGCTCTTCAACCTTGTCACCTTAATTCTCGTCCTACGAGATTAAATTTGGTATCATTGTGTTCGCAATAGAATTCTCTACAGCACTAAATGCATATAAACTCCAAAAGCCCGGCTAATTACCTGCAGCAAACAGAGAAAGTGCGAACAAGTTACCCAGGAGCGAGCAAACGCGATAAAATGTTTTCACTATTTTCATTCTGGTCACCTCAATTTTCGTCCTAGGTCTTTCATTTTGGTCTCAATGGGTTCGCAATAGAATTCTCTAGAGGAACATTAGCATATAAAATAAACCTGGTCACGCTCCAACCGCCGACGAGTTGAAGACGGGCCACACGTTAGCCGCGAGTGAGCGCTCAGACGCCTTCCAGCTACACTCCCAATTCCTGCCCTTTTCAAGCCTTTCTTTCGCAATTTTCTTCCTGGAAGGGCCTTGTTCATGATCACTATCCATTGTGGAGTAAGCGTAGATAGTTTCTAAAGCTGCAGTAAGAAATATAGCCATGGAAAATAGCCGAAATGTTCACACGTTTGAGATGCGAGGGGAGGCGACATTGGTCACAACAGTGGAGTGAAAACAATGGGCTGACGGAGTGTGCCGAGCCGCCTGCGGGCCACGAGGCACAACAAAGAAAAAGGGAAAACATCGGCGCGCATTTTAAAACCAGTCCCCCAAAAATCGGATAACAACCTGATTTTTGGCGATTATTTAACCCTCAAACCGCTAGGGGCCCAAATGAAATTCACACCCACAGGCGCAAGCAAAAAAAAAAAAAATTCTTTTGTCTTATAGAAGTGTTCATTTTTGTTCCCTGATCACGGAAAAAATAACAAAAAAATCATAGGTGGCATATTTTAGCCGCAATAGGGTAGGGAAGTGTGGAAAAAAAGGGGAGTTGGCAGAGCCTTCGCCAGACGTGGTCTACTCCGCCTGAGCTGTCAGACGGCAGTTGCCACAAATATATTATTACCTAATTATTTCAATGTCTCTGATTTTTTCTTAGTTTTTTTGCAGTAATGTTATTCCATACAGTGAATTGTGATATATTTATATTATAAAATGTGTGAACCATCGCTGTACTCAAAATTATGGTGTGCATATTAGTGATTCAATTATTATGTTCATAAAACAATAAACAAATAGTTTTGCTGTTGTTACACTATATACACAGGTTATATATAAGTATCTGCATGTTTTGTACACCATATCGAACTACTAAGCTGGCCTTGCGAGTCAAAAAGCAACAAGGAGTGACCGCCAAACACCAGCGAGCCACTCACTGCCACTCCCTCCCTCAACACCACCTCACTCACCTCCCACAATACTGTTTCTGTATTTATTCACTATACACAAACGTTATATATACGTATTTACATGTTTTGTTCACCATAACTGTACATCTAAGCTTGTATGGTGAGCAAAGGCACAAAGACGTAGCTACTCACACAGTCAGCTGATCGGCGGCCTCCCTCAAGGCCAGATGCACTAATATTTTTCCTCCAACAATATTGTTTGTGGTGTTATTACGCTATATACACACATTATATATAAGTATCTACCTGCTTTATTCACCATACCTGTACAAATAAGATGGTATGGTGCCCAAAGACCATAGTGGCTATCAGTAAACAACATGCCAAGTCGTGCAGACGACGCTCCTCCCTCACCAAAATGGCGGCTCCCAACCTACTCCTCTCGCTGTTATCTCACACTATACACACGTTATATATAAGTATCTACATTTGTGTTCACCATAGCGAACCACTAAGCTGGTATGGTGAGTGCAGTCAATAAATGGTGGCCACACAGTCAGAAAACGACGCCACAACCCTCCCTCCCACAGCATTACTCCTCCCTCCATGGAGCACAGCGCTAAATATCACCACAATCCTGCTATTATCAGAATCCTGGTCAGTTTTATCACAGTCAGGGGGCTTCAGTAATACTATCACTGCTAAATAATAGCAGTATCATTTATATTATGGTATTTGTAGGCGATGCTGTGGTCACAAGCTGAACAGCGGTGCTGTGAGCTTGTGCTGCGTGCGCCAGGCTTGGTGGCTTGCTCAATACTGACGCTGTAACACCCAAGAATGTTGGCCTGGATTTTTTTTCTAGGTGGCATCTGGCAACTATCGGTTGTGGCTGATAGCTGCCCCTACCCCAGGCGGGGCGTTTAAATTATAGCGCTAGACACGAAATCATATATAAATGATGTGCGCGGTTTCGGTTTTGTTACTGATATCATTTATATATGATATGCGCAGTTTGAGGGTTAAAGTGGATGATGCAATGCTGCGTCATCCCCGGCATTACCGACAGTAAACGGATGACGCAATGCTGCGCCATGCCCGGGCGAAAGTGTTAAAAGGGCTCCTCGACAAAGTGCAGGCAAGTAAGCCAACCCAAGAAATAGGAAATTTTTGTAGGATGAGGAGGGTCCAACATGGATGATAAAGACGAGTGAAGGTTACCTTTCAGAGAGGTCATCCAGTGAAGCAAATACTGGCAGAGAAGGTTAAGGGATGAAGGAAAATACAACCAGGTGTTCATTTTCCAGAACACAAGTTAGAGAGGAAGGTAAGAGAAATAGAGAGGAAAAGTGAAAGGAATTGGAAACGGACAGGAAATGGAGCTGGGGAGATCAAGAAGCAAAACCAGAGCAGGAGGATAATCAAGTACAGCAAGAAAGTGGGCCTAATCACATTGGTGAGGAAAGAGACGAGTGCGTGAGACTAGACCAGAGATTCCCCAATCTTTTTACCAAAAAAGACCCTTTGTAGTTAAATAAATTTTCCCTCAGACCTCCAGTTTTTTAAAGGTCTGTCTACTTAACAAGCCAATTTTATTAACCAACAACAAACTCGTTCTCCCGGCTTCACTTCTCAATTGAAAGACATGTAACCGAGTATGCAATTAAATAAATGAAAATGCTTTTATCAAAACTTTAATGAGATGGCCAATACTGCTTTGTTGACACTAAATACAGAGGTCCCCTCTTCTGTATTCTCCCATGCTCCTTGTCCTTTTTGCAACTTTCTCAGTTCTACACTGTAATCAATAATAATGCAGTGGTCACTGGCTCCTAGTTACACCTATTATTTTAAATTTTCAACATGATCTTTTTGAGTAAACACCAGGTCTAAGGTAGCTGTTACTCACCTCTTTCTCTTTGATATGCTGCTTCAAGAAGTGTTTTGTAGTGTCCACAAATCTTTATGTCCATGGTTTCATCTCCCTCCATGAGGATCCTATGTTGACCAGTCTATTTCCCGAGGTTAAAATCCCCTAGTGTTAAGATCTTTACACAAGCTCTCCTTGCCACTACGAGCAGGTGAACTGCCAAATGACCAGGTGAATTGTTTCAGGGGTCTAGTTTTGTGATTTGTTTACCTTGCTGTTATGTTCTGATTTGTTCTACCTTTCTGGTGATCTTTTCTTGGTCCGTGTTCTAGTGTCGTCATATTCCCTGCACCTCTATAAGAGCGGGCAGTTTTGGCCCTTGGTCCCTGACAGGGACCAATGACTCGCAAGTGCCTGGTGTGATTGAAAGTGGATGTGCTATCCAGGGTGCTAGCAACAGGGAGCTTCTACAGGAGCCCTCCAAGAAAACATAACTGCCAGCTAGGAGGAAAACAGTACTTTCCACTACAACCAGAAAGCTAAAGAAGACCTGTATGCAAAAAAATCAAGCATCTAATATAAAGAAACATCCTTTTATGGGCAGCCTTGGTAGGACTGTGGCTCAGGGATAGGCCACAAATCTACCAACACCAGGTGTTGGTAGCCAAGAGGAGTTTAGGGATCCAGGATCATGATGATGAAGTAAAATTACAAAGAAAGTACAATACAGGTGAGGCAAGACAAAATATGTATTTTGAAAAAAGAAAGACAAGATGGAAACAAGGGTCTCCAACCTGAGTGTATCAGGTTCAGCATTTTTGCCTGCAGCAATAACAACTTGATTTGTTTATTTCAGAATATATTTACTTTAGGCAGTAGTTTAGTTTAATTTGATTTGCTTGTTGTTCTGATGGGATTTTCTAGGGTTTAAAGCAATCCCCAAGGTCACCTCTTTTCATAAAGAGCACCAATTTTGGTCCTGGCTTCTGGTAACTTGGTGTGGATCTCGGAGGTCTTAAGAAAGGCTTCCGAGGTCCTGCATTTCTCAAGGCTTGGCAACACTAGTACATAAGCTATGGAAAGCTACTGAGGAAGCCTCCCCAAAAAATGTATGCAATAGTTAAAATTAAGATAAAAAAAAACACATTATCATAACTAAAATTATTCAGGAATTATTCGGGTAAATGAAAGAATATGCAGTACAGTAATATGAAAATACAATACATAAATATATACAGAAAATGGTCCTCAAGAAATATTACAAACCAAAACAAACATACCAGGTGAGTATTCCTTGTCCAAAACTGATAAGGTGAACATACCACCATATCCAAATGCATAATATTTAACTGGAACGGATGCTGCCAAGTAATCCATATAGAACAGCTCTGTTTTCTTTGTATCTGGGTCAACACCACCCATGAGCAAGTTCACAAAATATGGTTCCTGTGAAAAGAATAGGTTTGTTAATAATTTTTACTATAATTGGACATTTTTGTTCTGCCTGATGTGGAATCTCAAAATAGTAATCTTGTAAATTATTCCTAAAAATGCAAATCCTTCCCCCTTGTGATATAAAATTATGAAATTCCTCAAAATGCTGTACAGATTATTCACTCTCCATATACATATCCTGATATGAATATAAGATGTATAAGGGGCTCCCCCTTTCCCCCCTCTCCGAGAGGGGGAAGGGGGAGCCCCAGACCCCTCGCACTGGCGATTCAACCAGCAGTTCTTAGGCTGGATGTCAAAAACATGCGAAAACACCGCCGACCGGAGGGAGGGAGGGATGCCGGGGAGCCTCTGGGTCTCGCCCAGAAAATGCTGTTTCATTACAATTAATGCTAGTTTTCTGGGGGAAGCCCCAGAGGCTCCCCCAGAGCCAACTACCCAAAGACAAGGAAAAACACGGACTTATCCGGGAGGCGTTCATTCCTCACTTCTCAACGCGAAGTCGAGACAAATGGCTGCAACCGCGAGCCAATGCAATGCAGGCCCTACCAGTTCCAGGGACGTTGACAAGGTAGTGAACGGCCAGGACCTCCAAAACCTGTTTGACCTCCAAGAACCCTGCACCCGAATGTCAACCAAAGACATGTTGCCAAAGACTGCAACCAAAGCAGCAAACTTATGAACATCATGGGCACAGGGATAGACTGCAGGCTGGCTAGACTTAATAACCCTGGGACGACCTGAGAGACTCGAGCCCGGGAATGGAAAGAGGGAAACCGGGTCAACTCAAAGCGTACCCCCGGCCACTGAGGCACGCAAATAACGATGGAGAGCTGCAACCGGACAACACATGATGTTCCCCCGGTCTGACCAACCAAGCATCAACAACCCAAGGACCCCTGTGGAAAGCAGCAGTCTCATTCTTCGCCAGACAAGGAGATGGTTGCAACCGAACAAGCCTACCACCCGGACCAAAGGAGCAGAAACCCCTGCGCCAGAGAGCATGAAGCTCCCCGACCTGACCAATGCCAACAGGAAAAGAGCCTTAGAAAAAACAATCCTGAACTGAAGGGGCCACAACAAATTGAGGAGAAGAGAGAAAAGAGACCACCCGGCCCAAAAACCAGGACTCATGAGGCGCATGAGCAGGCCGGAGGTGAAACAATGCATGAGACAGCTTGCGGAACAGGGCAGAAGTAACAATACCGAGCGCAAGCTGGAGCGGCTCCGCCAGCACCACGTGATACGAGGCGACAGTATTCAGCATGATGGTCCTGGAACAACCACAAAAGGAAGGACAAAACAACCCTATCAGAGACCGAAGTACACCTACGCAGTGTTGGGGTTTCAGTCCAGTAAGTTAGTAACCGTACTTAATATCCTGGCAATATCGACAATGTCGGGGTTTCTCTACCTCTCAACAGTCACTATCAAGTAGTAGTAGTAGTAACTGTTACTTACTTCAGCCCTGCGGGTCTTCACTCTATCCTCAAGATGCCACTGTTCACCTGGAGAGTATCCCAGTCTACCTCCGGCCGGCCTTAAAACCTGAAGGCGAGTTGGGACACAATCTACTCTCTTGATCGTGTGCCCGCCCCAACAGACTGAAACTACTGCTAACTGAAAGGTCGCCAACTGGTGTTTCCCGTGTCCAGTAACACGTCAGTGGGATTGTGGTAATAGTGGCAGAATGCACACTAAATAAATCTGGTATCAGGCAGGTATGTATCTCTATCACTCTCACTCTTTCTATGGACTCTGTAGCAACAAGCAATGGAGGGATAATGCAAATGCGAAGGTAGTTTTGTATTTTACTTTAAACATTAAAGTATTATCTCTCTATATCAACAACAAGGCGATAAAATACATGGCAGCGGAATACTCCCTCTTCATAAACTGGAACGCAACCAGACGGCAACACTCCCCCTCCTGTCATTCACAGCCGCCACGCCCCCTCGCTGTATGATCACTCTCTGTACTTGTTTCCCTGGCGTTAAGCGCCTATTTCTTTAAATTCACAGTAAACACAATACTGGCAATCAACACAATAACTTGCTATAATGGCGTTAAACGCAATGATCGCTGCACTGGCCTTAATGCTCAATAAATCATTTCAATGGCAATTAACACAGTAGCTCACAGTAATAGCATTAAACACCGAATATCACAGTAATGGTAATAAATGCAATAATTCACTGTACTCACGAATATGGTATTCAATACTCCAGCATACATATAGATCACTTCATCAATATTAGCAATAATGAGTCAACACGGGGCACACAGCCTTATACTAATAAATGGTATATTTATATATATATATTCTCTGACAAACTTATAATATTAATGTCACATGAGTATAAATGTCCTTGACACAGCAATCTCTTCAATAAATCACAGGTGCCTTCACACACCACATATATTATATATATATTATATATATATATATATATATATATATATATATATATATATATATATATATATATATATATATATCATGAGAGCTCTCTACAGCATCTCTGCACAACTGTGCCTTGCTATGGCATAGACATTGGTGAGCCTTGCTCACGACATAGAAGATACTCTGGCTAAATTAGCTGACTAAAGGGGAATGGGAGGGAAAACTAAATTACCTACTTCCACCTCACTGATGTGGACTCTTCCTCTGTTGAGAGTTGAAATGAAGCTCCTGGTTCCGGCTCTCGTCTCATTGTAGGGAACGCTCCCACACATACACTGATGCTCTCTCCAGGAACCTCTTCAACACCTCAAAAAAAACGTGTCTTCACCGTGCTCTATCCTCTGCAGGCCCGTGCTCCTCCACAACTTCCTGAAGGGTTGGAGTCGGTCTCCTGGCCGTCGACTTCTCCTCACAACTACGCCTGCAGTCCTTTCTCTCGGCTGCAGTCGTCCCGATTCCCAGCTAGTTCCGTTCTTCTACTGACTCTCGGTGGATTGGCCCAGCCGCTACGTCATCACTAAATGAGTGAACTGACTCAGACGTCCCATACGTCACTGCACAGACTTCACTTCTTGCAAAGCACCTGTCACTGGAGCACTTGCTGCTCAATTCTCGTCGATTCCTTCTTTGGTCCAACACATGGTATAAAGGAAGACCTCACAGGGTGCTTGTAGACTACTGGGTGACGCGTAAAATCCACCGGAACGGGGCAAAACTGTCAGACCGACAGGACCTCCTCTCTCGCACATCCGACCTCCTCGACGTGTCGTGTCAAACTGCTAGCGCCACCAGGGCACGATGTCCGGACCCCCTTGCTCTCGTGACGTCATACTTGCCAGGGGCATTTCTTATTGGCTCCCTGTGCCACGCCACTGTTCTTGACCAATCTGGTGCCACTGACGTCATACCGTTTTGGCGGTAAAACGGAGGGGCTGGCGCCATATTGGCGTCCTAAAGGGCCTAAACCACAGGCCTAAACACTCTTCTTTTGCGAATTTCTCGACAACGCGAGAACACTTCACGCTCCCACATATGTCAAATTGTTCCCTGGAACATAGAGAATGTTCAGGTAAAGTTGATATGACTCTTACAGCTGGTGTGGGAGAAATATAAGGGGGGGGGGGGGGGAACACCGTCACAGCAGTGATAGGAAAACAGGAACGACTGCCAGGAAACTTTATACTGCCGCCGAGACAAAGCATGCGGGTAGGAGACCCAAAAACGAAGTCACCTGCACCCCATACAAGTGATGATAGACTAGTCAGAAACTCCAGATGCAAAGATTCGAGGAAAAGAACGAACTAGCCTCGTACAGGGATGAACCGATCTGCCGAAAGAGGCGGTGCCGCGGGAAGACCCACGGCTTTGGACATTGAGCAAGCAACGCCTGAAACCAAGGCTGGGCCAGCCACCAGGGAGCCAGAAGGACAACTCATCTCTGGTAAGTCTTCAAGCGAGCCAGGATCTGGAGCAACAGCTGAACCTGGGGAAAAGAGGTACTGGTAACCCCACCTCGCCCAGTCCTGCCTGAAGGCATCGACCCTGATGGCATCACAGTCGGGGAAAGGGGGGGGGGAAGGGTCATGTATATCGGGAGATGCTTCGACCACACCGACATGAAGAGATTCACTTCCAGAGGCCCTTATGTCTGGCAGAGCCAACTGAACGAGTTGGTGTCGACCGTCCATTCTGTGGACAGGGGAATGAACTGGGACAGGTCGTCTGCCAGGACATTAGATACCCCCCACCAGATAGGAAAACAAAAACAAAAGAAAAACCACGCAAGAGGAGAACATACCTAGGCGGAATAGAGCCAGCCACTACTTGAGCCGGTCGGCTGAGCGGACAGCACGCTGGACTTGTGATCCTGTGGTCCTGGGTTCGATCCCAGGCGCCGGCGAGAAACATTGGGCAGAGTTTCTTTCACCCTATGCCCCTGTTACCTAGCAGTAAAATAGGTACCTGGGTGTTAGTCAGCTGTCACGGGCTGCTTCCTGGGGGTGGAGGCCTGGTCAAGGACCGGGCCGCGGGGACACTAAAAAGCCCCGAAATCATCTCAAGATAACAGTAGGTGAAAACTAGCTGTGCAGTACCCCGTACCTCTACCAGTTACAAAAACTAACCTCCTACCTAGAGGCAAACAAGGGCAACAAATACTCCAGGTGACTCCAAGGGCGCCAAATACCTAGCAGTAAAAGACGCAGCGGAGGTAGAGCCCAGGGTGATTTGTGGAAGGTGGCCCCGAGCCCCAAGAGCCGTACTTACAGGGCAACTAGGGAAGGAAACCCTAGGCACATGCAGCCCAAGTACCGTAGAATAATTCTCCTGATTCACACATCACCAGTAGAGACAAACCATGCCACAAGGCACAGTAACTGAAGTTAAAACTAGAGCCAGAGGCACCTGACCAGCCAGCATCACATAAGGTGTGCCAGGAAAAGATTTACATGTAATATAAGTGTCCATATTACAGTGTAGGCTTAAATCTAGTACTCAATCACTGTTTATGTCAGTCATGTGTACATAAATTGAGTTAATTATTCCTGGCAATGTATAAACTAAAATGAAGCAGCAGACATATAAACCATCTAACTTGAACATGGGTGGAAACTTTCCAGAATATAACTAACTCAGTGCATCAAAATAGTAAACCAATTGTTATGATCTGATAAATATAATAGATTTTAGCAGTAAAAGGGTTAAGACACACAGGACACACACAAACCCCTTGGGAGGGGACACCCATTCCACACCCTCCTCAGAGGCATGTCCAATCCAATTTTTAGATCACTAAAAGAACAATTGTGGAAGCTCATTTATCTTCATGCAATTCACTGACAATCCCAAATATAGCTACAAATTAACTAAAATAAATTACCTGTTTTTCATATGGGTGGATTTAATAGATGTTTTACACTTACAGCTGTCCATGCCTGATTACTCAGGCTCCCAAATAACCAACACAGTATAACCGTCACAACCCAGCAATCTACCATAATTGTATATGTACCGAACTTTACACTAACTGACCCTAGAACGTAGATGTGTTGCAAGTGTGTAACGTGTTAAGTGGACCGCTGCAGAAGGTGCCAGCTCATATCCATTCCGCATCTTATACAGCTGAATATTCTTGGCGATGTATTCTGCAAATTGAGTGGTGTCACCTGCCTCCCCAGATACAGCCATCACCAAGTTTTTTGATAAAGTGTGCATCTTGTCATCATCTGTCCAGGGACAAAGTTGTTCACTCTTATTAGTTATTGGAACAAAAATCAAGCAATGAACAAAAATATAAACACTTATCTGATGGGCCTTCAGTAGCTCGCCAAAATTATACACTAACCAGAGTTCCACACACCAGGTTTATGAGAACCGTAAGTCTTTTTACTGGCAGAGATAGATAGAGAGAAAGAGAAAGAAGGGAGAAGAGAGTGGTGGAAGAAGGGAGAAGAGAGGGGGAAAGAAGGGAGAAGATAGGGGGAAAGAAGAAGGGAGAAGAGAGGGGGAAAGAAGAAGGGAGAAGAGAGGGGGAAAGGGAGAGAGAGGGGGAAGAAGGGGGGAAGGAATAAAAAGGGGAGAGAGGAAGGAGGAGAGGCCTACTTGTTCAGCTAACCATTACATGGTCCTACATGAATGCCTTAGTTCTTGCGGCATCAGTATTGAATGTATTACTGCCTGATGATCCAATCATTATACCTCTAACCAATGGACACTGTTGGTTGAAAGTGACCGACATTACATAGTTGCTTTCAACTAATGGTGCCCACTGGACAGTGGTGGCAGCATAAGTAAGCTAAAGAAACAATTAGCACTAGTGCAAAAATCAGTGGGAATCTTTTGTAACAGACTCTAGTGAGTACTGCATACTGTATCTGAAAACAGATGTACAAGACAAAAGTCTATTTCTGATAGATACAGCATTGCTTGCTGCATTGCCTAATGCAGTCTGGCTGGCCACGACAACATTCAACATCAACATTTATAAATACAAGTGTTCTTTCATTTTCGTAAAGCCACTAGCATGCATAGCATTTTGAGCAGGTCCTTAATCCTAATGTTCCCCGGAATATGACCCACCAAATCATTTAACACCCAGGTACCCATTCACTGCTGGGTGAACAGAGGCTACAATTAAAGATTGACACCCAGTCAATCCTCCCCGGCCAGGATATAAACCCAGGCCAAAGCACTCGTGAAACGCCGGGCGAATATATTACCACTGTGAGTTGAGACTCCATGGGGACAGCTGCTCCTGTTGGGAAATGTCCTAACACAGGAATTAATATATATTACACACTTCTTACAAGTTTTATAATGAGCCAGGAAACAACTGAATAACTAACCTGATTTTTGTACCATGATGCTCTGTAAATGGCTCATGTCTGTGGCCATCATAACAAAATTGTTGAATTTTACACCTGCAAGAAATGAATGTGACTTGTATTATGGTCAAATCTGATTTTTAGTAACAACAAAAATGTAGAACAGTTATATGGTAAAATATTACCCTAAACAAAAAAATAGGTTTCCACCCTATTGGCTTGAAACCCTCGAGCCAATACACATTGTGTTATATATCAACAGCATCAGATGAAATAAGTTAAATTGTTAAAGGATGCATCAGCTCAATTGCTATAGTGGCGAACAAGAAAGGTAGAGGAAAGGCTACCAGATAGAAAGGTAAGGGACAGGTGGGGGAAGGCAGGAGGGAAAGGCCAGGGTAAGGCAGGGGGGGGAAGGCCAGGGCGAGGCGGGGGGGTGGGGAAGGCCAGGCCAAGGCAGGGGAGGAAGGCCAGGCCAAGGCAGGGGAGGAAGGCCAGGCCAAGGCAGGGGAGGAAGGCAAGGCCGAAGCAAGAGTAAGACCAGGACGAGGCAGGGGAAGGCCCAGAAGAGGTAGGGGAAGGGCGGGGAGTGGTAGGGGAGAGGAGGGGAAGAAGTGAGTAAGCCAGGGAAGACAGCAGGCCAGGTTGAGGAAGCTGTAGGTCTGGTGGGGGAGACAGTGGGCCAGGTGGGGGATGCAGTGGGCCAGGTGGGGGATGCAGTGGGCCAGGTGGGGGATGTAGTGGGCCAGGTGGGGGATGCAGTGGGCCAGGTGGGGGATGCAGTGGGTCAGGTGGGGGATGCAGTGGGCCAGGTGGGGTATGCAGTGGGCCAGGTGGGAGACAGTGGGCCAGGTGGGGGATGCAGTGGGCCAGGTGGGGGATGCAGTGGGCCAGGTGGGGTATGCAGTGGGCCAGGTGGGAGACAGTGGGCCAGGTGGGGGATGCAGTGGGTCAGGTGGGGGATGCAGTGGGCCAGGTGGGGTATGCAGTGGACCAGGTGGGGTATGCAGTGGGCCTGGTGGGAGACAGTGGGCCAGGTGGGGTATGCAGTGGGCCAGGTGGGAGACAGTGGGCCTGGTGGGAGACAGTGGGCCTGGTGGGAGTGCAGTAAGCCAGACGAGGGATGCAAGCGGCCACATACAACTAGGGAAGTATACCTCCAGGAAACACCATACAGTAGTCAAGATACTCACCGATGAGGCACTCGAGAGTCATGATGGAGCGAGTGTGAAGGAGCGAGTGAGTGAGTGAGTGCGAGAGGAGTGTGAGTGCGTCGGTGACTTGCACTACCAGTAAACAAGGACCGTTCACAAGTGCTTCAACCCACCAAACACTCACACTCACCCTTACACCCCAACACCTCATAAACAACACCACAATAATAATGTGGTGTTATAAGTGAGGCGAGGGCGGAGTATAATGACGCAAGAGAATAATGCGGAATATTTCACGCAGCATCGACCGCCGCCGCCCCGGCCACTCCAACACATATCGCGGCCGCCGCCACACCTGCCACACCTTCCACACCTCCGGCGGAGACACCAGTAAGTGAGACATGTGTGTATGTAAGTGGAGGGGGTTGGGGGTGTGTGGGCGTGGGCGTGGGCGTGGGCGGATGCGGGGTACGGGCGTCACTTGTCATTCCGCAGGTTGGGTGTCGCGACCACCTCGCCCTGCAGCGCCTCTAGTCTCTCTCCTCCGCCCTCGCTACCGCTACTCCTGCAGGTATGTCCTGGGGGCATCACCTGTGTGGCAAGGAGTGCTGCTGCGGCACCCCTCCCCTCTCCCCCCCTACGCCCTCATTACTGCCTCGCACACCTGGCTTCACCCTCGCCCACACCTGCCTCGCCTCCTGCACCAGCACGACCTGTTAGTCATGGGTGTGGTAGGTCACGGAGCTCTGGGAACAACCGGTCACGGAACAATGAAAGGGGGCGAGTCACGGAGCCGTGTGAATGGGGGGCGTGAGTCACTGAGCCGTGTGAATGGGGGGCGTGAGTCACGGAGCCGTGTGAATGGGGGGCGTGAGTCACGGAGCCGTGTGAATGGGGGGGCGTGAGTCACGGAGCCGTGTGAATGGGGGGCGTGAGTCACGGAGCCGTGTGAATGGGGGGCGTGAGTCACGGAGCCGTGTGAATGGGGGGCGTGAGTCACGGAGCCGTGTGAATGGGGGGCGTGAGGAGTCACGGAGCCGTGTGAATGGGGGGCGTGAGGAGTCACGGAGCCGTGTGAATGGGGGGGGGGTGAGTCACGGAGCCGTGTGAATGGGGGGGGGGTGAGTCACGGAGCCGTGTGAATGGGGGGCGTGAGTCACGGAGCCGTGTGAATGGGGGGCGTGAGTCACGGAGCCGTGTGAATGGGGGGCGTGAGTCACGGAGCCGTGTGAATGGGGGGGAGTCACGGAGCCGTGTGAATGGGGGGGGAGTCACGGAGCCGTGTGAATGGGGGGGCGTGAGTCACGGAGCCGTGTGAATGGGGGGGCATGAGTCAGAGCCGTGTGAGTGGGGGGGGCATGAGTCACAGAGCTGTGTAATTACCTAAGTGTACTTACAGGATGAGAGCTACGCTCGTGGTGTCCCATCTTCCCAGCACTTTTGTCATATAACGCTTTGAAACTACCGACGGTCTTGGCCTCCACCACCTTCTCACCTAACTTGTTCCAACCGTCTACCACTCTGTGAAAGTGAATTTTCTTATATTTCTTCGACATCTTTGTTTAGCTAGTTTAAATCTATGACCTCTTGTTCTTGAAGTTCCAGGTCTCGGGAAATCTTCCCTATCGATTTTATAAATTCCTGTTACTATTTTGTACGTAGTGATCATATCACCTCTTTTTCGTCTGTCTTCCAGTTTTGGCATATTTAATGCCTCTAACCTCTCCTCGTAGCTCTTGACCTTCAGTTCTGGGAGCCACTGAGTAGCATGTCTTTGCACCTTTTCCAGTTTGTTGTGCTTCTTAAGATATGGGCACCACACAACCGCTACATATTCTAGCTTTGGCCTAACAAAAGTCGTGAACAATTTCTTTAGTATATCGCCATCCATGTATTTAAAAGCAATTCTGAAGTTAGAAAGTGTGGCGTAGGCTCCTCGCACAACGTTCTTTATGTGGTCCTCGGGTGATAGTTTTCTATCTAGAACCACCCCTAGATCTCTTTCTTTATCAGAATTCTTTAAAGATTTCTCACATAATATATAGGTTGTGTGAGGTCTATGTTCTCCTATTCCACATTCCATAACATGACATTTATTAACATTAAATTCCATTTGCCAAGTGTTGCTCCATATACTTATTTTGTCCAGGTCATCTTGAAGGGCATGACAATCATCTAAATTTCTTATCCTTCCTATTATCTTAGCATCATCAGCAAACATGTTCATATAGTTCTGTATACCAACTGGTAGATCATTTATGTAGACAATAAACATCACTGGTGCAAGAACTGAACCCTGTGGTACGCCACTTGTGACATTTCTCCAGTCCGATACATTGCCTCTGATTACTGCCCTCATTTTTCTATCAGTTAGAAAATTTTTCATCCATGTTAGAAGCTTTCCTGTCACCCCTTCAATATTTTCCAGTTTCCAGAACAACCTCTTATGTGGAACTCTGTCGAAAGCCTTTTTTAGGTCCAGATGGATGCAGTCACCCCAACCATCTCTTTCCTGTAATATCTCTGTGTCTCGATCATAGAAACTGAGTAAATTCGATACACAGGATCTTCCAGATTGAAAACCATACTGTCTGTCTGATATTATATAATTTCTCTCCAGGTGTTACCCATTTAGTTTTGATTAGTTTTCCAATACTTTCACTATTACACTTGTCAATGATACAGGTCTATAATTGAGGGGGGGGGTCTTCCCTGCTGCCACTTTTGTAGATTGGAACTATGTTAGCTTGTTTCCACACGTCTGCTATGATTCCTGTACACAGGGATGCCTGAAAGATCAGGTGAAGTGGAATGCTGAGCTCAGATGCACATTCTCTCAGAATCCTTGGTGAAACTCCATCTGGGCCAATTGCTTTGTTCTTACTGAGCTCCTTTAGCATATTTTCCACTTCATCTCTAGACACCTCTATCCGCTCTATGTTGTTCTCTGGAATTCTTATTGTCTGGTTCTCTTAAGATTTCATTTTGTACAAACACACTTTGGAACTTTTCATTTAATATTTCACACATTTCCTTTTCATTTTCCATGAATCTGTTTCCCATTTTCAACCTCTGGATATTATCCTTTACCTGCAATTTGTTGTTTATGAATTTGTATAATAGGCCCGGTTCTGTTTTACATTTATCCGCTATCCCTTTTTCAAAATTTTTTTCTGCCTCTCTCCTAACTGTCGTATAGTTATTTCTCGCATCTTTGTATCGCAAGTATGTTTGGGGGTTTGACCTCTTCCTATACTGATTTCATTTTTGTGTCTTTTGGTCTCTGGCCCTCTCACAATTTCTGTTGAACCAATCCTGTTTTCTGGTCCTGCATCTCTGTTTTGGTATGAATGTTTGTGTGTCTTCCTCGTATATTTTTAAAAATTTGTTCACAAATCTGCATGTCCAAAAGTCCTCCGTTCTTGTTTCATAGGCCTTCCAGTCTATTGCTTTAAAGTTGAAGTCCCCCAGTATCAACAGTCGTGATTTATCCTTATCTGCTTGTAGAATAATATCTCATGACCATTATGAGGCCCTGTTGTTTTCATCCAGTTCTTCCTTTGTCCATGTGTTGCTTGCTGGTGGGCTGTAGGCATTTAAAATTATCAGCTTATCATCCTGATTCCAGATCTGCAATGCCATTATGTCAATATCTCGAGGATTTTCAAATATTAACTCTCTTACCTTCAGGTGTTTTTTCACCAGTACAGCCACTCCTCCTCCCTTCCTAGTTTTCCTGTCACGTCTCCAAACTGAATAGCCTCTTGGGAATATGACTTCATTTATTATATTTCCTTCAAGTTTCGTCTCTGATAATGCGACAATATCTGGGACCCTAAGCTGGATTATATCTTGCAACTCCAAAGTTTTTGACCTCCCTCCATCTATGTTGGTATATACAATTTTCAGGAACATGCTCCCTTTTCCTTTGCTCTTTACTCCCCCTTCCACTACTGATCTTGTTGCTTTGTTTTTATGTACCATTTCACAAGCTTTCCAGTCCCTGTCACTTTGTAGAAAAAGAATTTGTCTTCATTTCTATCTCCATTTAGACGTTTTGCCTCAATTAGGTTCATTTTCAGCTTTTCTCTGTCTTCCTTGGAGAGGTCTTGTCTTATTGACCAAAGTTTGCCAACCTCATCACTGCAATTTCCTGGCATTTCTAAGCACTTTCATCATGTCTCTGTGGTGTAGTGGTAAGACACTCGCCTGGCGTTCCGCGAGCGCTTAGTCATGGGTTCGTATCCTGGCCGGGGAGGATTTACTGGGCACAAATCCTTAACTGTAGCCTCTGTTTAACTCGACAGTAAAATGAGTACTTGGTTGTAAAAACGATTCTTTGCGGTGGGGATCGTATTCCAGGGACCTGCCTGAAACGCTACGCTTACTAGTGGCTGTACAAGAATGTAACAACTTACTGTATATATATCTCAAAAAAAAAAAAAAAAAAGTTTTTCACGCCATTAAACATCACTCTTAAGGGGCGGTTCTTGTCTTTCTCATATTTTCCTATTCTTCTAAAATCACTGACATTTTTCTTTGAGCCTTCTAAACCTACTATTTTCTCTGATTTTCATCTCTTCTGCTGCTCAGTCCACCCTAGATGAAATTTCCTTCTCTAAACCTCCAAATATTATTATGAACTTAGTTCTATCTGCAGTGTTTTGTACTAGTTTACTGTTGGTAACCAGTTCTTTTCTAATTGCTTGTCTAATTTCTGCTTCTTGTTGGTCACTTCTGGTTTTGACTTCCGAACACACTTCTTTGATAGTCTCTTTCTCTTTTACAACTTGAGCATATGTCGCTTTTATTTCTTCTTTATACTTTTCTAGTTCTTTATTCACCTCCTCTATGTGAGTTGTCAGTGAAGTTTCCAGTTGGAGATCCTTGCCTAACTCTATATTAGCTCTCAGGCTCCCTTGGAGTTGTTCACCATATGAGTATTTTCTTGTTTATTTCTTCAAAGTCACCACACTTCACTTTCCACGCCTCATTTTCTTTCACTAGTTCCTTGATTTGCTCCTCCTGATTTGTTACCTTGTCTGTTAATGCAGTAATAATCTTATCTTGCTGAAGCATACTCCCTTTCAGAGTGCAAAGCTCACTCCTAAGAGCTCCATTGTCCTCTTCCAATTTAAGCACTTTTTCTTCATACTTCTTTTGCATATCCTCAATTATCTCTAACCTGCCAAGAACACCTCCTTTCCTTATATCTTGGGGTGAGAATCCTTTGAAACAATCATCTGTTGGTGGGTCTACATTCCCAGCAGTAGTGGCGGCGGCGGCCATCTTTGTTTTTGTACTAGAACCAAAACAAACTTTTCCACTCGGCCATTTTCACTCACTTTTACGTGTTTATTGTATTTTATTTGCTTTTACACTTCCCTGAACCTTTATGTAACCTGGGACACCACTGTAGCCCTCAGTCTGTTCCCAATACTTAGGTAATTCGATATTTCCAGGAACTTGCTGCAGTGTGACTCATGCCTCCTCTGCCTCAAGGATGTAAGGCCAATGGAATGTGAATGGGGGGGGGCGTGAGTCACGGAGCCGTGTGAATGGGGGGGCGTGAGTCACGGAGCCATGTGACTGGGGGGGCGTGAGTCACGGAGCCGTGTGAATGGGGGGGCGAGTCACAGAGCCGCGTGAATGGGGGGGGGCGAGTCACAGAGCCATGTGTATGGGGGGGGGCGAGTAACAGAGCCGTGCGAATGGGGGGGACAGTCACGGAGCCATGTGTATGGGGGGAGAGTAACGGAGCCGTGCAAATGGGGGGGGAGAGTAATGGAGCCGTGCGAATGGGGGGGGGGGAGAGTAACAGAGCCGTGTGAATGTGGGGGGCAGGTCACGGAACCGAGTGAATGGGGGGCGAGTCACGGAGCCGAGCGAATGGGGGGGGGTCAGAGTCACAGAGCCGTGTGAATGGGGGGGAGAGTCACGAAGCGGTGGGAATGGGGGGGGGCGAGTCACGGAGCTGTGTAAATGGGGGGGGGGGGGCAAGTCACAGATCCATGTAAATGGGGAAAGGCGAGTCAAGGAGCCATGTGAATGGGGGGGACAAGTCACAGAGCCGTGTGAATAGGGTGGCGAGTCACGGAGCCATGTGAATTGGGGGGCGAGTCACAGAGCTGTGTGACTGAGGGGGGGGAGTCGCGGACCCGTGTGAATGGGGGGGGGAAAGTCGCGGAGTCGTGTGAATGGGGGGGGGGAAGTCGCGGAGTCGTGTGAATGGTGGGGGGGAGTCGCGGAGCCGTGTGAATGGGGGGGGCAAGTCACGGAGCCGTGTGAATGGGGGACGAGTCACGGAGCAGTGTGAATGGGGGGGGGCGAATCACAGCCGTGTGAATGGGGGGCAGATGGCGCTGTTTTTTTTTTTTTTTTTTTCCCCTATCACAGGTGAGGCATGTATATAGTAGATATATAAAAAGACGCGCCTATTCGAATGCAATGTTGTGTCAATTTCAAAGCAATCGGTAAAGAGGTTTCGAAGATTTCCCACGCATGAAAAACAGTTTTCTGGAAAAGCATGTTTTTTTTTTATCATCACAGATGTGACATCTATATAGTATGTATATAAAAACCTGGCCGGATGTGAATGGAACGTTGTGATAATTTCAAAGCAATCGGTGAAGAACTTTCGGAGATTATGCACAAACGAACATTTCTATTTTTATTTATATAGATTTAGCACTGAGAACTCTCAAATGTATTCCACTGTACTCTAGTTTAAAGAGGCCTTCCTCATTTCCTAGTAAAGTTGTTAGAAATTGCATATTATTTTAAAATATTATCATAAATATTGAAATAAAAAATATTTAAGTTTTACCATATCTGCTTCCCCTCACTGTTTTCCTCATTTTCTGTTATTGGAAGATTTTTTTTTATATTTTCAAATATAACTTAAATTAATTTTTGTTTTATGAATTTTCACCAATGTTTCATATATGTTTGCCAAGACAAATTAAAATTAGCTTTGTTTTATATTCTACAAGGGAAACCCCATGTTTGGTATACATGCCCTCAAAGTAGGTCATGATGCCTTGGTAAAAACGTCACATGGCATCATTAGTTGTGCGAGTTCTTGTAAGAGCTGCAGTACTGGGTTGGAGGTACTGTATGTGTATGTATCAAACATGATAGAGGTTTGTTTACATATACCCAGGGAGGAAACTAGGGCTTATGTGTTCAATATGGTTGATAGTCACCAGGGATTTCCAGTTATTAAATGTTGCTCTATACCTGCTGGGACTTTTTTAACAACTCAAATAGGAAGTAAATGTTCTGTGATGTTAGAGAACAGTTTAGAGAGTCAATATAATGCCTCTTTAAAAGATAGCTTTGATTCAGTAAATAATTTTTTGGCTCTGTGATGCCAATGAGCTTCTAAATATTACTGTTGGTGTCGCTCATGCCTGTCAAATTCACTGTCCTACAAGGAAGACAGGTGTAACCAGGCCTGCATGGGAAATTGGCAAGCATTAGAATGTCATTTAAGAATCTAAGCAAGGAGGCTTTCAGGTCCATACACTGCCTATGTGAGACCATTACAGTACTTGAGTATTCTGCACCAGTATGGAACCTACACCTAATGAAGTATAAATCAAAATGAGAAAGTTCAGAAATTTGCAACTAGATTAGTAAAAGAATTAAGAGGCCTCAGCCATGAGGACAGATTGCGAGAACTCGCCCTCATAATCTTAGAGGAGGGAAAAAACATGGGGATATGGTAATAATATAGAAGATTTTGAAGGGCCTAAACAAAGTGGACAAAGTAAGCCTATTTAAATTAAAAGGGGGGATAGGACAGGGGGGACAGGACAGGGGGGACAACAGTGGAAGCTGGATACACAATTTAGTCGAAGAGATTTAAGGAAGTTCTCATTCCCTGTTTCGCAATTGCAGTGAATTGAAGGAAGAGGTTAGCATGTCTGGTATACATGGCTAGAAGGTAGAGCATAAAGAGCTAGGTCTTGCTCCTCTGCAGTCACTGATAGGTACTCTTGTGTACCTATATATATATGCAGTCACTCTTAGACTATTCTGTGCTAGGTAATTTTATCACACATAACTGAAGAAATTATACTGTATATGGCATGACAAAATTATGCTGACATGAGAGAACTTTGTTTCTAGTTCACAGCCATACTGGGTCTATAAATATAAAACTGTACAAAAATATTTTGTCACCAAATTTATTATTATTCCTTTGTAGACTTGAACAATGGCAGTAAATGTGTTTTCCACAAGTGCGACCACGGAGAACCTCAGTCGTCATGACATGCTCAACTGGGTCAACGACTGTCTTCAGTCTTCATACACCAAGGTGGAGGAATTGTGTACTGGTGCAGCATACTGCCAATTTATGGATATGCTCTTTCCAGGTAACATATTTTTGTACTTCTGATGTATGTATACATTATTTTAATATTTCTGATAAATACCGTATTTCTTAGTTGTCATTTATTTATTTATTTATTTACATTCAGTGGCCCATCCATTTTTAATGTAATCCATTCCCAGAGATGGGTCGTAAACTGAAAATTTGCAAACCGAAATGAATTTTCCCATGAGAAATAATGTAAATTGAATTAATCCATTCCACACTCCCAAAAATATTGGGAGGAACACAAATGTGAACAAGCTTGAATGGTCCTCAGGCATATATGCAACTGAAAACTCTCACCCCAGAAGTGACTCAATACACCAGTTGCAGTGCTCCTGGCAGTATGGGTTCGATGTATCGGACTGGAGAAATGTCAAAAGTGGAGTACCGCAGGGTTCAGTTCTTGCACCGGTGATGTTCATTGTCTACATAAATGATCTATCAGTTGGTATACAGAATTATATGAACATGTTTGCTGTTGATGCTAAAATAATAGGAAGGATAAAAACTTAGATGATTGTCATGCCCTTGAAGAAGACCTAGACAAAATAAGTATATGGAGCACCACTTGGCAAATGGAATTTAATGTGAATAAATGCCATGTTAGGGAATGTGGAATAGGAGAACATATACTCCACACAACCTCTAAATTATGAGAGAAATCTTTAAAGAATTCTGACAAAGAAAGAGATCTAGGAGTGGTCTAGATGGAAAACTGTCACCTGAGGACCACATAAAGAACGTCGTGCGAGGAGCCTATGCCACACTTTCTAACTTCAGAATTGCTTTTAAATACATGGATGGCAAAATAAAATACAAAGAAATTGTTCACGACTTTTGTTAGGCCAAAGCTAGAATATGCAGCGGTTGTGTGGTGCCCATATCTTTAGAAGCACATCAACAAACTGAAAAAGGTGCAAAGACATGCTACTAAGTGGCTCCCAAAACTGAAGGGCAAGAGCTACGAGGAGAGGTTAGAGGCATTAAATATGCCAAAACTAGAAGACAAGAAAAAGAGGTGATACGATCGCTACGTACAAAATAGTAACAGAAATTGATAAAATCGATAGGGAAGATTTCCTAAGACCTGGAACTTCAAGAACAAGATACCATAGATTTAAACAAACTAAACAAAGATGCCGAAGAAATATAAGAAAATTCATTTTCGCAAACAAAGTGGTAGACGGTTGGAACAAGTTAAGTGAGAAGGTGGTGGAGGCCAAAACTGTCAGTAGCTTCAAAGCGTTATGACTGGGTGTGCTGGGTAGACGGGACATCATGAGCGTAGCTCTCATCCTGTAACTAAACTTAGGTAATTACACACACTAGCAGTGAGCTGATCACTCAGGCCAAACTTGGTGGGTGGAAGGTTAGACAATCTGCAGAAGACCTTCCTGTAGCTTCATTTATATAGTTAAACAACCCATTCCACTTGTGCATTCACACCCTGGCCATATCTCCACACCTCACTAATGCACAACCACCACCCATATTTGCTCTTACCCCTTACCCAAACCACATCCATCCCACCCACATTACTGCCTTTTGAAATCTGAAGTCGTTCTCTGTACACGTCTGACTAATTTCTGAGTGCACCATAGGGATCAGTATGAAGTATATTTTGTGAAATGCAAAAGTAAGGTGGAGAAAGTCTACGTGTTTGCTGCCAGAGCTGAGAGATATGTACTATGAAAAAGACTAAAGGAATTAATCTTCATATCACTGGAAATTTATAAATAGGGGAGACAAAATTACAGCATTTGAAATACTCTGGGAAATTAATCGGGTAGACAAGACGATATTTGCAAGTGGTACATGAGCAATGGAAAACAGGTGGAAACTAAATTCCCAAATGAGCCAATTTTGTTTTATTCTAGTACAGTATTAGTATAGTAAATAAATGGATTAAACTAAAGAGTGAAGTGGTGTAGGTTCATATTATATACAATTTTGGACTCGAGACTCGACTCGTTCAAATGGCTAGCGTACCTGAAACAAACGTTTGAGGATTAAGAAGCAGGACCCAAGAGCTGATGTTCAACCCCTCTACTTTAGCTGCGATAGTTGACAAATGCCACCAAATTTACATTGGCTTTACTGTTTTCATGCATTACATTACATCGCATGCAGTATAATGTGTGAATGTTTGGCTTATATGATAAGTGGCGAGCAATATTTGCAGTCATTTTGTGAGTTCATTTACTAATTGATGTTGCATTATTAAACAGCTTATTCTTACATTTACAGGATCCATTGTTCTAAAGAAAGTAAAATTCAATACAAATTTGGAGCATGAATACATCAATAATTTCAAGATTTTGCAGTATGCCTTCAAAAAACTCCAAGTAGATAAGGCAGGTACTTTTTAAATTTTTGTTTATAAAGGTAACTCTAAATCTAAAGTTGTTTGAATATGTGTTACAAATCCCAGAGACCGGAGATGTTTAAGCATCATGTAGTAAACTGCCAGGCTTTTTTTACTAGTAAATTGCACAACCCATGCATGAAGAGAGACATGACGACGTTTCGGTCGGTCTTGAACACTTATCAAGTCGACATTATTCTCCATAAAATGTATGCTACAGTGATCTTGAGGCCAGTTGAGTATGGCTTGTGAAGACCCTCACTTAACCAAACAATAAGATAGACTGAAATTGTTCATCCTCAAGGTATAGGTCTAGTGGTCTTTGTTGTGGCCACAGAAGAGTTGTGCAAGTATTTGATGATGATCTTTGAGGACTTGATGTTAATATGCAACAGGATTTATTTTCTTATGTGTGTTAATTCCTGGAATGCTTTTACTCCTTTTCAGATTGTACCTGTAGATAAACTGATTAAGGGAAAATTCCAAGACAACTTTGAATTTCTTCAGGTATGAGAATCTATATTTAGTTGTGCTTTATTGTTATTATTGCATGACTTAAAATTTACTGCTTAATGATTTATATTGGAGAAATATTGTATGTGACGTTCTCTCTTTTAAGCATATAGTATGATGTATTCTTATTTATTCCTCTGTGATCTTGTCTGACATTATAGGGAATAATCTTGTGTTAATGAGTGAAGACCATTTTATTATGAATATAAGGGTTGAATGTATGAATAACCTTGCTATTGCATGGAGAGAGATGAATTAGGTTAAATAGCTGTTTAAATACAGTATAAAAATGAAATAAATCTTTGCATCAAGATTGTGAGGTTTTCACCCGAGCATACTTTCACAATAATTGTAGGGTATAGTGTACATTCATGTTGTGGTGAACTTGTCAATGTTTGTTTCTCTTTGATACTGATTGTTGTAGATGTTTTGTGCCTATGCTATGTTTGTACCGTCAAGAAAATTTGTGCCTACTTCATTATTTATCAATGAGATCGCTTTGAGGCCATTCACCAAAGTAGTGTCTTAATACTTTGGAATGGCTCTGCTATGCCGATATATTAATCGCCGCACCACGGTGTTGTGACCTGCATAATTTAGAAACAGACTTAATAAAGTTAAATCTACTATATAGTTTGTTTTGGAAAGAGATGAGATTCCTTTCCTGTCTTAAACACATTAAAAATGAAAGGTGGTGACATAGTAATGTTTAAATTCTACAGGAAATCCCACTCCATTATCCCTTGATAAGCCTGTGTATCTTATTTTGTAAGATAAAGTACTTGCTAGTGAGTGAAACTTCCTCTACTAAGTGTCTGCTCTCATCTTTGTATTTGTTGTCAGCACTTTGTTTTCTATAGTCTTGTCATGAAGATGAGAGCAATTGGGAATGCCTGGCTTTGTTTTTTTATCATAAACTAAATTAAAATTTGTGTGATTATTATTATTATTCTGCTTCCAAAACACCTTGAATTCAAATTTTTTGTTAGGTTTTTATCATTGTGCCCTGAAAATGCAAGAGGCCCTTGCTGTTTGCTGGAGATGCGTAAATTACTGTACAAACACACACAAATGGTAAAACATGGAATGTTAAAATGAAAACAAAATTTTGTGAAAAAAAATGGGGATAGGTTTGAGACATTAATACTTCATCATTACAGTTCCCTACTTTCATGGGTGGAGAAGCATTATTGAAATTAAAAAGTAGGTTAGTAATATTAAATAATAAAAACATTAGAAATTAGGTGATATTGTATCCCAACTCCCTATGCCTCTATTGAGGGGGGCCCAGAATCTGTTCTGGGCTCCCAGTAGGCACTTTTGATTCTTTAGAACATAGTGTAGTAGCTGGGTTTGGATTGAAAAGAATGTCTAAAAGCAGATATTAATAAAGTTTCCGACTGGGCAGAAGAAAATAACATTTTAAGTGATAAATTCCAAGTACTGTACTCGGGTACGGTAAAATGAGGGGTACAGGGTACAAAACACAATCAGATTTGCCCATAGTAAGGAAAGCAGCATGTCAAAGATTTAGAAATAATGAATCTACCTACCTAAGGTTTAAGGAGCATAACCAAGCAAATATTGCATCAGCCCGAAAAATGATAGGATGGATTACGAGAACTTTCAAATCCAGGGATTCCATCACAATGGTTTTACTATTCAAATCACTTGTACTGTCCCATCTTGAGTACTACTCAGTACTCACTCCCCCCTTCAGAGCAGGAGAGATTGCTGAAATAGAGGGAGTTCAGAGAACATATACAGCATACATAGATGCGATAAAGCATCTAAATTATTGGGACCATCTCAAAGCCCTCCAAATGTACTCGCTAGAAAGGAGACGAGAGAGATATCAAATAATATACACGTGGAAAATACTGGAAGGCCAGGTCCCAAATCTACACAGTAAAATAACAACTTACTGGAGTGAATGATATGGAAGAAAATGCAAAATAAAACCAGTGAAGAGCATGGGTGCCATATGCACAATCGGAGAACACTGTATAAACATCAGAGGTCCACAGTTGTTCAACATCCTCCCCAGCAAGTATAAGAAATATTGCCAGAACAACCGTGGACATCTTCAAGAGAAAACTAAAAACTAGATAGTTTTCTTCAAGAAGTGCTGAACCAACCGGGCTGTGTTGGATATGTGGGCCTGCAGGCCGCTCCAAGCAACAGCCTTTTGGACAAAGCTCTCACAAGTCAAGCCTAGCCTCAGGCCGGGCTTGGGGAGTAGAACTCCCAGAACCCCATCAAGCAGGTATCATGAGGTATCAGCACTTTTAAAAGCTGTTACCTTTTGGGGCATGTTGGCTGTTCTTACAAACAGGAGACATTTTGTTAAAATGTTCTTACATTTTTTATGGCACAGTAGACCAATGAAGCCTTCTTCCTCAGGTTTTGCAGGCTGTTTGGCCATCCATGGGTGGGCCTCTTCTCTTCTACATGGTGGCTTCTATTTCATGGGTTAACATTTTTGAATAGCACATTGTTACAGAGGCTAGAGTAATCTTGCATCCTCTGCTCTGTGCCTCTGAGGGATGGGCAGGAAAGGTTTTGGCCTCTGGTCTCCGGTAGATTAATAAGGACTCACACGAGCTTGCTGCGAATTGGTGGATTTGGTGGAGCTATCCGAAATGGCTTACAAACCCATCAGAAAGAAGCATTTCATCCTATTTTATGCTGGGTTTTCCAGAATATCCTTTTTAAGATATGGCAGAAAATACAGAACTTGTTTGACTTGTGTGTTCAGTTATGTAATTATGTAATGCTTTACTTAATATCAAATTGAAGTAACATCTGCGTGTGCTAGTAGCAAAACTGCTGAATGTGTAATTTGTTAATTCACTTCAGTTTACATATTTGTGCAATTCTTGATTTTTTTGTTTATTAACAGTGGTTTAAGAAGTTCTTTGATGCCAATTATGGAGGGCAAGAATATGATGCTCTGGGAGCAAGACAAGGGGAACCAATGTTTGGCAAAGGCGGTCCACCCAGGAAAACAAATGCTCCAACTAATGCTTTTAGGCCTCTTGGACGTCCATCTACAGGAGGTTGGTGGCAGCATTATCTTGTAATCATACATTAAACTTCTACCTAGTGTGTGTATCTCCTGCCCTGAGCTGCTCACAATTGTGCACCTTCTTCCCCAACTGAACATTCTCTTGTTCCATATGGCTACTTCATTGTAATGCATACTATGTCTTGCCCTTGAGTTTCCGCACTTTTCTGTAGTATAAAGAAATGATTACTCTAATCCTGATTTATGGTCCATCTTTCAATAACAATAATTTTTAATATTATCCACAATTTTTTTTTTATAGATGTGTAATGTGCTTATTTAATTGTCACTGAAGCAAGACCTAGTTCTTCAGTCCCACCTCATATATAACTCCTGATATTCCAATACTCGGTCATACTCGGTCCGTACTCAGTACTCTTGAAGCTGTGAATGTGAGTGACTTAAGCCAGAATTAGTAGAAACAATCACCCTTCACAAGCATGTACTGGGCATGACAGAGTTCTGGAATGTCAGGAGGTATGAATGCACCTGGGACATAAGCTGTGATGTGGGGGTGTAAAACTAGATCTCACTCAACACAGATATAGCTAGGTAAACAAATTGAATATCTCCATTGTTTTAAATTTTGTGGGGGGCGGGGTTATCACATAATGTGTTAAAACCACATACATTTGGTCTTGAACAATGATTCCTTAGTGCATCCATTGCTATCTTGTTCTTCATAACTATTTGCAATCCCCTTCTGACTCATCTCATTCATTTGTACAAATGTCATTCTTGGTCACATTCTTGGATTGTCACAAATGACATTCACACATTCTTGGTCCTTAACCCTTACACTGCTCAGGGGTCCTGGGGACATATACACCCCTGTGCGCAAGAAAAAAAAAATTCAAAATTTTTTTTTCGTCTTCTAAACATGTTAATTTGTGTCCCCTGAGCACGGGAAAAATAAAAAAAATCGTAGGTGACATATTTTGGACACAATTGACCGAGGAAGTCTGGCAAAAAGTGGGCGTTGACAGAGCGGTCGTCAGACCCGGTCAGCGTCACCCGCACTGATAGATGGGAGTTGCCACAAAGATATTATTACCTAATTGTTTCAATGTCTCCGATTGATTTTTTCTTAGTTTTTTGCAGTAATATTATTCAATAGTGTGTATTGTAATATATTTATATAATACAAGTGGTGAATAATCGCTATACTCAAAAGTATGATGTGCATATTAGTGATTCAATTATTATGTTTATAAAACAATAAACAAATAGTTTTGCTGCTATTACACTCTATACACAGGTTATATATAAGTATCTGCATGTTTTGGTCACCATAACGAACCACTAAGTTGGTATTGAGAGTCGAAAAGCAATGAAGAGTTACCACCACACACCAGCCAGCCACTCGCTGCCACTCCCTCAACACACGCACTAAACTTTCTTTCCCAACAATACCATTTGTGGTGTTATTACACTATATACAGACATTATATATAAGTATGTATATATTTTGTTCACCACAACTGTACAGCTAAGCTGATATAGTTAGTTCAGGCACTAAGAGTCGTCGCTATACACAGATGGCGGCTGGCGGCTCCCTCACTCATTCAAGGTCACACGCACTAAACTTTCTCCCCCCAACAATACTGTTTGCAGTGTTATTACCCTATATACACATATTATACATAAGTATCTACATGTTTTATGCACCGTAACTGTACACCTAAGCTTGTAGTGCGCCCAAAGAGCACAGTGGCCACCCTCTAAACAGCTAGACATATCGTGCAGACGACTTCACCTCCGTCACCCACATGGCTCCTCCCAGCATAATCCTTTTGCTGTTATTACACTAATACACACATTATATATAAGTATCTACATTTGTGTTCACCATAGAGAACCACTGACCTGGTATGGTGAATGCAAACAATAACAGCTAGCCACACAGTCGGTAAACAATACTGTCTCCCTCCATCTCTCAGCATCACTCCTCCCACAGCGCTAATTATTACAACAATCCTGCTATTATCACAACCCTGGTTATTTATATCACAGTCAGGGGTCATCTGTAATATTGTCATCGCTAAATAATAACAATTATATATTTATTTTGACATTTTTCGACGATGCTGTGGTCACAAGCTGAACAGCAATGCTGTTCGCTCATGCTGCGTGCGCCGGCCTTGGTTGCTCCAACAGTTCTGTGCCTCTCACACCTGAGAATATTGCCCACGATTTTTTTTTTAAATGGCATCTGTTGACAAGAGCCCTGAGGAAGCTACTGTGAACCCCCGTGTAACCGCGGCCATTTGAATCGGGCCTGGCACCCTGTGGCGTATATATACGCCATGCGCACCGTGAGACATGTTACTCAGGGCGTATATATACGCCATGCGCAGTTTAATGGTTAAATATGATTTTGCATCCAAAATTAATTCTCTCTGCTATTAACCAAAAACATACTGTAAAAAACCTTCTTTTCATACTTAGCATGGCAAGTGTTTGTGGTATAACTTGTAAACTTAATTCTTAATTCTTCCACTTTGCAACACAGCCGGAAATGATCTCGCTAATTACAGTGTCCATAATCTGCACAATACTGTTGGGGAAATTTTAAAATACCACACGAAGATTTAAACCTCTCGTGGGAACATGGAGCTTACATCAGCTTCCTCAGACCACCGGTAAAAAAAAAAAAATCTTTGGGGAAGGGAGGGGGGGGAATCATGGGCACCTCATGGGCAACAGGGGCCTGACAGCTGAGTGGACAACGCTCGGGATTTGTAGTCCTAGGGTTCCGGGTTTGATCCCTGGTGGAGGCATAAACAAATGGGCAGAGTTTATTTCACCCTGATGCTCCCTGTTCACCTAGTAGTAAATAGGTACCTGGTAGTTGACAGCTGCTACGGGCTGCTTCCTGGGGGGTGTGTAACAAAAAGTGGCCTGGTCGAGGACTGGGACGCTAAGCCCTGAAATCATTTCAAGATAACCTCAAGATAACCCCTCCTGGGTGAGAGGGGTATAGCATAGCAGGTCACAGCACTGCCATGCAGCTCATGTGCACATCATCACTTAATATTGATGAAATAAATAACTGATTATAGTGTCATAGATGTTCTTAACTTTGGTAAAAACTATGTACTATACAAGGTTCAGATATATGTGAACCCAGTGATGGCTATGATGATCACAGCATGAGGCAGACATCCACAACACCCAGCTGCAGTTTGGTGCGTTTAAGCATCATGAAATGGGGCCTCATGATTCTTTAGAAAACAAATGTGTGAGAAATGGTTCATTTTTGGTATTTAATGACCAAGACTTTGATGATGATAATAATAGCAGTGTTGTGGCCAGAGTTAGCTCTGTACATATAATGGGAGGTATTTTGCTGTTAGTTTTTTAATGCTGCAGCTTTGAGAATAAGAGGCTGTTGATACAAGCTAAGAAAAAAAAATTCCCAAAAATTGACAAACGTTCTCTTTTGCAAATAGTGTTGATGTTATTTGACAAAGAGCTTATAGAAAGGATGGGACACCATAAGATTAGCTCCCATTTTATACCTCAATTTAGGTAATTGCATATAGTCATTACTTTTACTATATCCTACAATACAGTTGTAATTATGACATGCAACAACCAGTGCAGGATAGAACAGGTTCAAAATGTTACTGCCTTATTTTGTTTCAAGGTGCATTAACATAACTATTAAAAAACTTATCAAATGACTTCAAACCGTAACAATTTATCTTTGCCTACATACAAGACCTATAAAGACAACTAAGCACTTCGTTTTTAGTTACCAATATATACAAACAAAATCAATTCTGCCTATTTTTTCACTACTGTACATTGATTTATAATATTTTCTTGGTCTGGGTTTTCACTTTCCATTTTTTTTGCTTTTAAGGCTCTTACAGTTATCAAGAAAACATTGACTTATTTACAGATGGCGGTATGATGACCAAACTACACATCAGAAGATGGAGACACGTCGTCATTTCTCCATCTTATGTGTGGTTTGGTAATCATATCTTCAGCCATGTTATTGTGACTCTTGGTCTGCAGATGGCAGTATGTTTAAAGTATCTACAGGTATACAGTACTCTTTATCTCTTGTCCATAGTGTTTCAATATACAAAATAGCATGGCACAGCATAACTAAAAAAATTAATAGAAATTAGAAATAGGTGTGTCGTATTGCCATTGTTTGGGTATTACTGTTTGGAGTTCCACTTGATTCTTTATGGCTCTATTTATCAGCTCCAGTGGCTTGTTATGAAGATCACAAGGTTTGTGCTAATATCACTTGATATGGAAACATTTTGTCTGTGCACCTAGTGAGAACTCTAATGTTGTATTTCAAGCCACATTTCCATGGGGTGATCATTGTTGCTGTAAGCAAAATATTGTTTGGTATGGTATGTGGTCTCAAGATGTAAAACAGTCTTTAACAGCATTAACTAGAGTTAAGGAAAGTCATTTGGAGAGGTGATCTTTTGGGCTGCATCTCTAATTGTAGTAGATTTTGTTGCAGGTGGTGCTCGCCAGACTATTACCCGCATCGCATCCAGACCAGCTGTTAGTAATCGATCACCGTCCACCAATAATGCACAAGTGGAGGAGCTCTCTGGTCAGGTATGTTCAATTTCATGCAAGTAAATTAGGACTTGCTTTTGATTATTTGGTTTTCCCATCAAAGTGAGTGGATAGCATATAATTCTGTCCTTTACTGTATGCTATTATTTTTGTCTTTTGGCCATTGTAGCAAGTGCTACGTGACAGAATTTTGAACCCTAAAATGCTTTGAATAGATGTATCATTTTGATAATTTGGTTGCCATTTGGATGACTATAGAATATTTCCAATTAATGACATCTGCAATACCTCTGGGTAAGTTTCAATCCAGAATATTAATTAAGAATCTGACTATCATTGAGTTTTTGAACAATGTTATATGATTTGTGCACAACAAAGCTTTAAAAACTGGGAACACTATTTTTTGAACAATCATATTTTGCCTACAACAAGTTTTAAAAAGCTTGTCAAGCATGTAGTTGGTAGTGATATAGGTATCACAAGAGGGCATGCAAGTTGTTGTTCATCCGATGTAAAGTAATTTTACGTACACAAAAAATGGCTCGTCTGAGAGGGGGCAGCTTTCATACACATGCCCTTTAAAAATAATAATGTTTATTTAGAAAATACGCTATACCCATAAGTCCACTACAGGCTCACCATAACCCGTGCTACTTGGAGCTTTTGTTCCGAGTAGCTGAATCTTCAACAGCAACAGCTATTCCCATTCTGGTGTATTCCATTAACAAATTGGCTCTCTTAACATGAGGGAACAAAATTAAGTTGTTGAGGCAGGGATTAATTTAACATGATTGTAATTTAAACATCAAGCATGCTCAAGGTAAACTGCACTTGCTGATGCTTTCTGGGTAAACTGGTATGAACTTTACAATTTTTATTTTTGAACATTGTGTATTTCAAAGTATTAAATATTAGTTTATTTTGGCATTTCATTTTATGAAAGTTATTGGTAGTAAATATTCAGTGTGCTGATATATGCTGTAGAGTTTGCTTAGCTTTCCAGCTGTATTGTGTAAAGGAAGAAGTGTAAGGCATATCAAACAAATTCAAGTTAAAACAAACTTTATACTGTGTTGAAATCTTAGGGAATGCGAGCAATGTGGGTTTCCCTTTTGATTGTTTTCCATCATAAATGAATTTGCAGCACCACCACGAAGATGACACAATTTATATATCAATGCATGTGAGTGAGGTCTATATCTTTGAATCCTGCTTGCATGTGGTGTGTTAACCCTTAAACTGTGCAACACATTAATAGCTATGGTAAGTAACTGTCGTGGACTTGCGCACCCCAGCTATTGATGTGTTGGAGTACCATGCAAGATTTAAAAGTCCCGCGGCTACACGGGGTTTACATTAGCTTCCTCAGGGCTCTTGTAAACAGACACCATTTTTTTTAAATTGTGGGCCACATTCGTGGGTATGAGAGCCTCGGTACTGAGTGAGCCACCAAGGCTGGTGCACTCAGCATGAGCTAACAGCACTGCTGTTCAGCTTGTGACCACAGCATCGCCCAAAATTGTCAAAAGAAATGTGTAACTGGTATTATTGAGCGATGATAGTATTACAGAAGACCCCTGGCTGTGATAAAAAAGACCAGGATTCTGATAATAGCAGGATTGTTTTGATTATTAGTGCTGTGCATAGTATGATGGGATGAGTAATGCTGAGGGAGGTAGCATCTGCTGACTGTATGTGTCAGCCTGTTTTTGTCTGCACTCACCATTCCAACTTAGTGGTTCACTATGGTGAACACAAATGTGGGTACTTATATGTAACGTGTGTGTGTATATAGTGAAATAACAGCAAAAGGGATATGTTGGGAGGAGCCATTCTGATGACGGAGATAGCATCTGCTGGCTGCTGTCTCTTGTCATGCAATTTTGTTGTGGTCACTATGTTGTTTAGACACCATACCAGCTTAGTTGTACAGCTATGGTGAATAAAACGTGTAGATACTTGTATATAATGTGCGTATATAGTGTAATAACACCACAAACAGTATGGTTGGAGGAGGAATGTTAGTGCGTCTGGCCTTGAACGAGTGAGGGAGGGAGGGAGAGAGAAGCTTCAGCTGACTCTGTGTGGTGACCTGTTATTGTCTGAACTCACCATACCACCTTAGTTGTATAGTTATGGTGAACAAAACATGTAGATACATATAATGTATGTATATAGTGTAAAGGCAGCACAGACAGTATAGTGGGAGTAGGAATGTTGGCGAGTGTGGGGGTTTTCTTTTTTGCTTTCACGACTGCAATGCGTACGTCGCCAATGTACATGTGGCAGACGCTTCATGAAGCTGTCGGAATTAGCAGAATAGAAAATACGAGAGCAACCATACAGGGCTTGGGAGCAAGGTCGAGTTCGAGTCCTTGAGGGTCTCTTCTCAGACTAGTCTCACCTGGTCCTGCTCCACGTTGATCGTTGGAATCTCCTCAATGATTTAACACTTTAACACTTTCGCGCACCCCCCGCGCCACCCCTCGACAGGGCGATATGGGCCCCAGTGTGTCAAGGAAGGGCGCGTCAATTCCGAAAAGTGTATACTCTCTTCAACTTTGTCACCTCAATTTTCGTTCTACGAGATTAAATTTGGTATCATTGTGTTCGCAATAAAATTCTCTACAGCAATAAATGCATATAAACTCCAAAAGCCCGGCTAATTACCCGCAGCAAGCAGAGAAAGTGCGAACGAGTTACCCGGGAGCGCACAAACGCAATAAAATGTTTTCACTATTTTCACTCTGGTCACCTCAATTTTCGTCCTAGGTCTTTCATTTTGGTCTCAATGGATTCGTAATAGAATTCTCTAGAGGAATATTAGCATATAAAATAAAAAACCTGGTCACGCTCCAACCGCCGACGAGTTGAAGACGGGCCACGCGTTAGCCACGAGTGAGCGCTCAGACGCCTTCCTGCTACACTCCCAATTCCTGCCCACATATGTTTAGTATTATTTCCTGGTGGTAATCTCAATTTTTGTGTTACAGCGCTCATTTAGGTATGAAAATGTTCCTAATAGAATTCTTCAGATGGATATGTGCATATAAGGGCCAATTGAAGAACAACATTGCCTGTACAATACGGGAAATGGGCAAATACCCATCAAGATCGTCAGTCCCATATATCTAGCAATTTCCTTCACTGTCACTGGTTGCCATCTGTGCTTTGTACTTTGCCCAGTACCTGCCTTATTTTGGGAAGCATATAAATTTGTTTCATAGGCAATATATTTCAGCAATTTTTGTGTCAGAAAGAGTTGAACGAATCCAAGAACAGTGGTAGGTACAGGAACAGTCAAGCCTGGTGTACCTGTAAAATTGTCCACAAAGGGTGCAGTATTGTCACTACACCATCCATCATCAGAATCTGTTGGTGCTGGGGTACGTGTGGTACGTGTGGTATGTCTGGCTCTAGCACGAGCTCCAGTACCGCACCGTACACGAGTGGCAATCTCGACCTCAGACTCCTCACTGTCCTCACTTTCATCACTATCAAAATCCTCATCGGCCGTCTCTGTTTCTAAATGTTCACTACTTGCATCAGTATCAATACCAACATCAGTTTCATCACTAGATGACCCAGACAAATCGTCAAATACAGCCTGAAACTTAGAGGGAGTTAGTCTCACATGCTTGTACTTCTCCTGTACACTACTCAGCTTCTGTTTTTCACGCCTTTCTTTCGCAATTTTCTTCCTGGAAGGGCCTTGTTCATGATCACTATCCATCGTGGAGTAAGCATAGATAGTTTCTGAAGCCGCAGTAAGAAATATAGCCACGGAAAATAGCCGAAATGTTCACACGTTTGAGACGCGAGGGGAGGCGACACCGGTCACAACAGTGGAGCGAAAACAATGGGCCGACGGCATGTGCTGTGCCGCCTGCGGGCCACTAGGCGCAACAAAGAAAATGGGAAGACATCGGCGCGCATTTTAAAACCAGTCCCCAAAAAATCGGATAAAAACCTGATTTTTGGCGAATTTTTAAAGTGGATGACGCAATGCTGCGTCATCCCCGGCATTACCGCCAGTAAACGGATGACGCAATGCTGCGTCATCCCCGAGCGAAAGTGTTAAGGGACTCCTAGGGTCCTCATCACATTTATAGTTTAGTGATTATAGGCAACTCGGTGTTGAAGACACTTAGAGCTGAAGGCTTAAGTAATGTTGGCAGTATTCAGAAGTGGTTCAATGGAAACACGTCATAAAGCTTAACAGTAGTTTATTTATTAACTTAACCACTAATACACAGGGTGCTTGATTTACTTTAGATTGGCGTCAGCAAAGCTATGGTTATATTAGCGAGACTCTTGACGTCTGGCTAAACGACTCGTGTCCACTCATGGAGAAACGCCTAACTTAACACAGTTGACAGCCAATCATTAACACGGCAACCTAACTGCCGGTATGCAAAGGGATCACAAGAGTTCCAACTGGATACTCGGTAATGATGATATGCAATAAACACAACTACACTGTCAATGGGACAGGCAATAACATGCACAATAATAATATCACACAATAACTAAATGTGTGGTGTATGTGAAGCTCACATTCACAGACTAGTGAAATGCAGTGACACCACACAGATAAACACGCATTCACCGTCAATTCACCTATAACCTGTGACAGGTATGAGAAAGTGAGAACTGTGGTTGATCCCTCAGATCAACACACACAATAAAACAATGACAAGATCTTGTACTTACAGATGGGTACCTTTCCTTACTCACTCACTCACTCAGGCACATTTATACAAGCACTCGTAGGTGGCCTGACAGCTGGTTTCGCTCGCAGACACGGAGGGTACTTGCAGTAGGGCGTGATGTATGCTTAACAGACAGACACACGCGCACACACTGGCACTGGCGATGAGTAAGGTGGTGATGTCACGTAGTAGTGAGGGCGGCGGCGGGCGCCTCGAGGTACTGAGGTACACGCTCGGGACGAGTGGCGGCTGGCGGCGGCTGTGGTACCATGCAGGTACACTTGTGGTAAAGTCACACACAGGTTACTAAGGCGGCAGCACTGCCTTAGTTCTCTAAGTCACTCACAACGATCTTTGTCACCAGGGGTTACGTGATACCAGTCTGTTTCGCTCTGGAGATTTGTCACTTTAGGCTTCTGAGCAATATATTCACACTCGTGATTTAGGGCGAGTGTGTAGTATATCGTAGAGACGCTGAGTTAACTTGACGGTGAGGAATAGACGGTGTTCAGTCTATTGGCCGGTAGACAGAACAGAACCCGTTGTCTTGGTTTGGTCTCCCTCACTTGAATGGTTTTGCCTGAAACTCAGGGCATCTTGTGGGGCACACACAAGGGGATTACAATTTGACCAATAGCCTTGCAGAAAATGGGCGGGAGCCAATCATATTAGCTCGTTCGATGAGCAGTAGCAGGAGTGACATCATGAACACGTAACGAACACGTCATAGCTGTTATTCACCATTGCGCCGGTTGACCCCAGAGGTTAGACGGTCGCCTCGTTGGCATGTCCCCTCTACTGTTCCACGCTCCCACCGGCCAATGTACTCACTAACCCTTTGGTGGCAAGTATGCTTAACTTCCTGTATCTACTTCCTGCCTGTACATACGGCAGCCTCCGTATTATGAAAGTGTTCCTGGTTAAGTGGGCATTCTGGAGATACCCAACATGCCCAGGTCACTATCCAGGGTTAACAGAAATAGGACCTTGTGCACAAGATCAGTGCACTGTGCACTGCAATGAGCCATTCAAGTCAGCTGTGGGAGAATCTTGAGACATTCTCTCACAGCGAGTGGGGGAGGGAGCATCAGCTGACTGTGTGGTGACCTCAATTATTGTCTTGACTTACCATACCAGCTTAGTTGTACAGTTGGTTCACACATTTTATTATATAAATATATCACACTACACACTGTTGAATAATATTACTGCAAAACAACAAAGAAAGTCAGACATTGAAATAATTAGGTAATAATATCTTTGTGGCAACTCCCGCCTGACAGCGGGAGTTGGCTCTCTTTTGCCAGATTTCCTGGACCTATTGCGGCCAAAATATGCCACCTGCAATCTTTTTATTATTTTTCTTGTGATCAGGGAACACAAATGAACACTTGTAAGACAATTTTTTTTTATTATATCTTGCACCTGGGTATTTTGCAGCCTATAATTGCAAGAGCAGCCCAGGGGTTAAAGCTTCTTGTTTTGCAATATTTTCTCTTGGAGGAATGAATGGAGGTGGTTTCCACTACTAATCTTCAACAATGCTTTTCACTTGTTGGCTGTCCTTACTGTGTACAAGAGTTTTCCTACTACCTATACTCTGCTGTTCAGATAAAGGCAAGAATTGGCCACTTGTTCTACTACATTGGTGTTTGGCTCCTCTTTATTACCAGAACTTGTGGTGAAATTAAGCAAGCTTCATTCTTAATCATAACTGCCTCATTTTGTTTATATATGATTTATAGTTTTACTTGATTTATTTTGAAAATTACTCAGAACTTACTACTTGTTAACACTTTCGCTCACCCCGCGCGCCACCCCTCGACAGGGCGATATGGGCCCCAGAGTGTCACGGAAGCGCGCGTTAATTCCGAAAAGTGTATACTCTCTTCAACTTTGTCACCTCAATTCTCCTTCTACGAGATTAAATTTGGTATCATTGTGTTCGCAATAAAATTCTCTACAGCACTAAATGCATATAAACTCCAAAAGCCCGGCTAATTACCCGCAGCAAACAGAGAAAGTGCGAACGAGTTACCCGGGAGCGCGCAAACGGGATAAAATGTTCTCACTATTTTCACTCTGGTCACCTCAATTTTTGTCCTAGGTCTTTCATTTTGGTCTCAATGGGTTCGTAATAAAATTCTCTAGAGGATCATTAGCCTATATAAAAAAAAACCTGGTCACGCTCCAACCGCCGACGAGTTGAAGACGGGCCACGTGTTAGCCGTGAGTGAGTGCTCAGAGGCCTTCCTGCTACACTCCCAATTCCTACCCTTTTCAAGCCTTTCTTTCGCAATTTTCTTCCTGGAAGGGCCTTGTTCATGATTACTATCCATCGTGGAGTAAGCGTAGATAGTTTCTAAAGCCGCAGTAAGAAATATAGCCACGGAAAATAGCCGAAATGTTCACACGTTTGAGATGCGAGGGGAAGCGACATTGGTCACAACAGTGGAGCAAAGACAATGGGCCCACGGCGTGTGCCAAGCAGCCTGAGGGCGACGAGGCTCAACAAAGAAAATGGGAAGACATCGGCGCACATTTTAAAACCAGTCCCCAAAAAATCGGATAAAAACCTGATTTTTGGCGAATTTTTAAAGTGGATGACGCAATGCTGCGTCATCCCCGGCATTACCGCCAGTAAACGGATGACGCAGTGCTGCGTCATCCCCGAGCGAAAGTGTTAATAGCCTAATTTGCAAAACCCACAATTTATCTTTTCTACCTCTTTTTAGCTGGGATTGGTTGCTCTGATAACTAAGAGAGCAGTTGTGTGGCTTGTGAAGTCTTTTAACCAAATAGTAGTAGAGTGTACCAACCCTTAGGCTTATATGATATATTCCCTTTGGGGTCGACCTAGAATCAAGGGCTTATCTAGTAGTTTACCCAGCTATGAATGTACAACTATTTAAGAATAGAGGTTTTTGGAACCTCTGGGAATACGATCAATTTCTTGAGCCTCTCCTCTTTGCTATTATACAAAATATATCTATACCTCTCAGTGTTGCAGTACTATACTAGTCATTCATGCTTGTGAAGATTTAAGTGATGATAGTTTCCATACTATCTTGCTTAAGCTCATTCCACTTGTTCCACCACTGTAGTATTTCCTCATATTTCTCAGGCTCGTGTTTCCAACTTCCACCTGTTTCCTTATTCTGTTGTCTCGCCTGGAAAATCAAATATCAGCTCAATTAACTTATGCATAATCCCATCAGTATCTTTGATCCTGCTGTTTTACAGGACTTCCTGTTGGTTTGGCTGCACTTGTTTTGAAGTCGATCTCAAATTTTTAAATTTTCTTTATTTGTACAGCTCCAATGACCTCATTACTTTGGATCCAGAGATATATTTCTTATTAATTAAATCTAAAATGCAGTTCAAGATAATCTTTGATCCAAGTCTCAAACAGTAAGTAAATGAATAGTTTTTTTTTTATGGGGTCCTCTCACACTGGTTCACATGTTATGCTATCCTCAGGTTCATATATCTTCTCTGTCTACTAAGTGTAAAAACTTTGATGCTATCCAGTTCTATCTTTATAATCTGTCAAAGTAAACACTTTAATGATTTGAAGGTGGGCAGCATTGTGCTATATTTGCTTCAAAACATCATCTAATGCTCCTCCCACTTCCCAGCTACAAATGTGGTACATATATATTAGTACAGAATGTCTGGGAAGTGCCACAATGCAAGAAAATTACCCAGAATTAGCATAATTAAAAGATTGTCAAGTCTCTAGGTGAGTGTGTGATACTTAGGTGTTGCACACAAGCACCACTTTTGTTATGAACGTACATACATCCCAACTCAAACAAACCTATCCTTCTATGTACAAATTCACATTTTCTAATCTGATGCAGAGTGAATATTTACTGTTGTATTTCCTCATCATATTTACCCAATTTGACTTTATTGAAGGAGTCGTGTAGGAATACATTGACCAGGAGGGAGTAGAAGAGTTACAGATGAAGATTGAAAATAACACCCAAACTCTCACAATACCTTCACACACAGTTCCATGGACAGCAGTATCTCAGTAGTAGTCGTGGAAATAATAATAGTAGTTGTCAGTTTGGTAGTACAAGTAATAGTCTCATTAACCATTATTAATGAATGTAGAAGAGGAAGTAATGGTGGCAGTGGTACTGTAATTGTTTATTAGCAGATCTAGATAAATGATTTATTCCTAATCATTTTAACTATTGACAGCTGCAGTAATTAGTGATGCTGATTATCCTTATTCTTTAGTATTTTTTATTTCAGAATGTATTTCCTTTAATACTTTGACAATTTTGTTTTCTTAGCTGATGGACCTGAGACTGACAGTCTCGGGACTGGAGAAGGAACGCGATTTCTACTTTGGAAAACTTCGAGAAATTGAAGTTTTGTGTCAAGATGAGGGTGAGAACAATGAATTGATTGCAAAAATCTTGGATATCTTGTACGCCACAGAGGTAGGTGACAGTGCTTAATGCATTATTGTATACCACTCCTTCAATAGGTAAGGCACCCATCTGTATTTAGATCTTGATTTATGGGTCTGTAATAATTTATTTTTTTAATTATAGATAAGATAATCATGGATCATGTATAAGATATAGTACTGTAAAGGTTTTTTGCAGTTTTTGAGACCTGCTGCAGTCAAACGATAAATATATTTTTTCATTTAAAGGCATGTTTATTTTATAGAGCTATGCTGTAAAGGCATAAATGACTGCATAAAAGAATTTAGCTAGAACTTTGATTGCTCATCATGGCAGATTACTTCAGCTTTTTTTGCTATTAGAAAACTGCTAATGGCTTATGTTTCCAATGCATATTTGTCAATACAGTTGGATGTGTATGCAATTTGGTAACCAGTGCTGATGGGAGTTAGTCATGTCTGAAGACAGTCACTGTGCATTAGGTATTTTGATGTAATTAAAATATAATTGCAATGTATTGTTGTATATATTTACTTAATTATTATTAGGAAAATTTTTCTTGTATTTTGAAGTTCCCAACAATTAAAGCCATCTTGTTGTGCAGAGAACAGTTTCACAGAGATTCATCACATGGGAATTGGTAGACAATATGTAATTCTCCGTAACCTAGTTGGTGGTACAGTAATGTTACTATCATATTGCTATTAGTTCCTAAACTTAATAGCTTGTGCTCTGATCTTACCAATATTAGTGCTGTGAGCTATTTTAGTGCTAGTGTCCTGACATTATAACGAGGATAGAAATGGTAAAAGATTCTGTGACTTTGCAAGAAAATACAAGATGACCTGATGCAGTGAATAGTCTAATAAACGGCTACTGAAGTTTAACTCGAGTAATTGTAAAGTAATGAAACCGAGTGTATTAAACATGAGGATGGACACAAGGTAACAATTGCGAGGTAAAATCCTTGAAAAATCGTGCAGGGGAAAATAACCTAGGGTTGAAGCCCAAGAATATCATCATCAGTGGTGTATGCTAGGATGGCATACATCCATACATCCAATAAAAACTGTCCTTTGAAATCTGAGTAAGGAATAATTCAGGAACATGTGTACCACATATATCTAACCAATCCTGAAACATGCATTTTCAGCATAGTACCACTGTGTCTCAACAGACTAGTCCCAGAACTAAGAGGTACTTATTACAAGTAAAGACCACTGAAATTAATCATATCTCTAGGAGATGGAAGAGTTAGGGAAGAGATAATTACCACGTACAAAATTCTCAAACTAATTGATAGGGTAGATAATAGTAGGCTGTTTAGTATGGGTGATACACTTACCAAGGGAAGACAAATGGCAAATATATGCACAAATAAGCCACAGTCATGTTAGTGAACAACTGGAATGAACTAAGTGAATTAGTGGAGGCAGATATCATATACAGTTTCAGATGTAGATACAACAGAGCCCAATAGGCTCAGGAACCTTGTCAACAGTTGATTAAGAGTCGAGAGACAGGACCAAAGAGCTGAGACTCGACCCCTGCAAGCACAGTTGGGCAACTGTTAGTACAGTACTCTAATCTTACAATTAGAGTACTAATTGTACTAATTGTACTAATTAGAGTTACGTCTTTCATTAGTGTTTTGATTTTACTAGTGTTAGAGCTCTGATCTTAACCAAGGATTTTTAAGTCTTTATTGTGGTACAAACACTGTAAGGTGTCTATTGTAGAAGTATTTGAGCTCTACATTTAAACGTATACACAGTATTAGTGAATTCTGTGACTTGATAAACTGTTGTTTGCTATTTTATTAGAGAAGTATTATATTCCATTTGAGTGACAATGTTTGGCTTTAATTTTAAAGCCATTGTTTAGTGATATGAAATAAAAAAAAAAGTTTTTTTTTCTGTCTCAAGATTGTTAGGGCTTTAATGATCATACTTGTATTAAAATGCCTCTTATTCCTCGGTTTTCAAGACGGCATAAATTTAGCCATTTTAAATGGGCTTTGTATGATTTATTTTATTCATGTTATAAATTTTGAAGTTTGACACTTAACACTTAGATATGTTACCAAGTAAAGTGACCAAAGTTACACAGAATATTCTTATACAAGATGTACTAGAGAATTGTACTAAATGAGAAAGACTCTGACCGAAACCCAAAAGATCTCCAGGTGAAATTTAATATTCTATTGATACTCTTTACATCCTTAGCATACTTGGCTACAAATCATAACCCCTTTCACTCAGATTTTTTCCTTCATTTACTTTCATCAGCTCTGTGTTGTTCATCCAGTAGTATGACACATTTTTGTTTCCAAGATGTATTACTGTACTTTGCATTTGTCAACATTCAAACTCCCACCTCCTAACATTAATTAGACCAATTTTGTAAGTGTTTTAAGTAAGGTTGTAATTTCTGCTGCTTTATTAGTGTTAGTTTACTTCAAAGTTTAGTGTCATCTGCAGATTTTGAAAGTATACAGAGTAAGCATTCATGGATATCATCTAAATAAAGTACAAAACTGGTCTCAAGACTGGCCCTGAGGTACTCCACTTGAAACATCTCTCCAACCTGATATGTTTTCATTTTAGAACTACACAATGTGTCTAGACACATAATTTTCCAACCAACGTGATAAACAACCATCCATATCCTGTTCTTTTATTGTTTATAGTAGTCTATGATGGGGAACCCTCTCAAAGCATTTCTGAAAATCCCAGACACCCCCCCCCCACACACACATACACATAAACACACACACACACACACACACACGCACGCATGCACACAGGGGTTGTGTGAATATGCCGTGGTTGTATGGTGCCCATATCTTAACACTATTGCGCGCTGCCAACTTAGAGATCATGCCCCGGCGTGCAGGCAAGTGTGCAGCAACACTGAAATGTGTTTACTCGTTTCAGTTTTCTCACCTTAACACTTTCGCGTTCCGTGGAAACGCGCGGTTGACAGGGGGGTCATGTGCCTCGGCGTGCGGGTAAGCGCGCGGTGACACCCAAATGTGTATACTCGTTCCAGCTTTCTCACCTTAATTCTCGTGCTACGTCGCTCGTTTTGGTATCATTGTGTTTGCAATTAAATTCTCTATAGGTGTGTATAAATATAATGTCCAAAAGCCTAGCGTGACTCCCAACAGCAAAGCCTAAAGTCTGCAAAAACGCACAAAATCGGTAACGTGCATTCTCGTTCCATTTTTTTACCTTAATTCTCGTGCTACGTCGCTCGTTTTGGTATCATTGTGTTCGCAATTAAATTCCCTACAGATGTGTGTGAATATAATGTACAAAAGGCTGGAGTGCCTCCCCGCAGGAAAGCCTAAAGTTACCCGTGAATGAGCACCAATTTGTACATTGCAACCTAATGTTCAACTCGTTCAATTTGATAACATCAAATTTCGTGCTACGTCGCTCGTTTTGGTATCAAATTGTTCGCAATAAAAAGGCGAGTATTTTAAAACTAGTCCCAGAATAATAGAGCAATAACTGGATTTTTAACAAATATTTTAATTCTGGACGCTCATCATCACAAAATTATTTATATCTTTCCAGTGTTCTGACATAAATATTTGTGTTACATCTTTCATTTTGGTATCAAATTGTTTGCAATAAAAAGGCGCTCATTTTAAAACTAGTCCCAAGATAATAGGACAATAAATAGAATTTTAACAAATATTTTAATATTCGGACCAAAAGCCTATTTATAATATTTCAAGTGTTTGGACATCAAGTTTCATGTTATATCTTTGATTTTGGTATCAAATTGTGTGCAATCTAAAGGCGCTTATTTTAAAACCACTACCAGATTGATCTGATAAAATTTAAATTTTTAAAAAATATTTTAATGAGTGACTCAGTGCTGCGTCGTTGGAACCTATTCAGTAGAAAAATGAGTGACGAGGTGTAGAGTCTGTGGAATGCGAAAGTGTTAATTCTTGTGCTACGTTGTTCGTTTTGGTATCATTGTGTTTGCAATAGAATTCCTTACAGGTGTATATGCATATAATGTTCAAAAGTCTGGTGTGACTCCCAACAGCAAATCCTAAAATCGGCAAAAGTTACCCATGAGCGCACAAAATAAGTAAAATGTGTTTACTCGTTTCAGTTTTCTCACCTTAATTCTTGTGCTATGTCGTTTGTTTTGGTATCACTGTGTTCATAATTAAATTCCATGCGGGTGTATATGCATATAATGTACAAAAGCTCGGCGTGATTCCCCACAGGAAAGCCTAAAGTTACCCATAAATGAGCAGCAATTGGCACACCGCAACCTAATGTGTTTACTCGTTCAGTTTGATAACATCGATTTTCGTGTTATGTCTTTCAATTTGGTATCAAATTGTTCGCAATATAAAGGCACGTATTTTAAAACTAGGCCCATAATAACAGAGCAATAACTGGAATTTTAACATATTTTAATTTTGTATGCTCATCATCACAATATTATTTATATCTTTCCAGTGTTCTGACAAATTTTTGTTACATCTTTAACTTTGGTATTAAATTGTTCACAATGTAAAGGCGCACATTTTAAAACAAGTCCCAAAATAATAGCACAATAAATAGAATTTTAACAAATATTTTAAAATTTTGACCAAAAACATATTTATAATTTTTCAGGTGTTCTGACATCAGGTTTTGTGTTACATCTTTCATTTTGGTATCAAATTGTGCACACTCTAAGGGCGCTTATTTTGAAACTATCCCGAAGTCGATTGGATATAAAAATGAATTTTATACAAATATTTTTGTATTGGACATGAGTGCTGTCCACGGCTAGCACTCGAGAGAAAAAAAAAGTGGACGTGAGCATCGTCTATGGCCATCGATACTGTTAAGCACATCAAACTGGAAAAGGTGCAAGGACATGCCACTAAGTGTCTCCCAGAACTGAAGGACAAGAGCTACAAGGAGAGGTCCCCCTCCATTGTGTTTACTTGTCGTGGTGAGGATGCTCATGTACACCTTTCTAGGACCGGTGGGGGGTTGCCTCCGCCCCCTTTCCTGTCCCTCTTTGGGAGTTGTACGTGCGAAAGAAAACAAACGTAGGGTCCTTGTGAGTCACCAGATCGCCTGCTGGAGGGGTCGCCCGTGTGGGGCTGCTCTAAGTGGATGGTTGGGTGTTCAGACTGGGACGAAAGGGACTGTGCAATAAGTGCTGGACGTTCTGGCATGGTACCCTCAAATGAGCATGTACTGTGTATCTATGCCCCATGTGTGGGGACGATGATCATTCTAAGTTCGAGTGCTCTTCTCCCCATGCTCGCTGCCTCAATTGCGGTGAGGCCCACCCTACCTTCTCCCGCTCATGTATACACTACAAACTTGAGGAAGCTGTCCTCAACTTGAAATACCGGGATCGTCTGTCTTTTCCTGAAGCGAATCACCAAGTTCGCTGTCTCACCCCCTTTCACTTGCGTATCTTATGCTCGAGTGATGCGTTCTACCTCTCCTCGTCCTTCCCATCTTACTCAGTCCTATCCAGG